GGGGAGGGGGGGGGGGGGGGGGGGGGGGGGGGGGGGGGGGGGGGGGAACAAGCGACGCGCTTGTTCTCTCCCCAGAATGATAATGAAGAAGACTGCAATCCATCAATGAAGACAGGATGGCGGAGATTCTAAACGAAGCGAGGAGCCAGGCCAAAAAAAAAAACTGAAGGAGCACGTGCTGTCTCACTTATTGAGATGTACTCGATTGATTCTCCACTGGCATGCGGCTCCTAACAAGACGCGGGCTCGTCTTAATGAATGTCGTTTAATATGCAAACCCGTCAACTTTTTTTTTTTTTCAAAGTTGATATCAGCTGCTTTTTCATGGCCTGACTACATGAAGGAAGCGACCATTCATCATAGGGAAATGTATACTTGGAGGCCTTTTGAGCAATACTTTCGAAGGTTCTTTAGATGTTTCTCATTTATCTTTGCTTCATGTTGTTGCTTTCAAGCTCTAACTTCGCTCTTATTCTTTGCGCGAACGTATATTAGGACTTGGGGCACCACCTTCGCTAATTTAAAAAATCGACTGAAAGTCTCGTTCATCCTCTGTGCTCATGCACTGCATAATGAGGATATCGTGCTTGGATATGGTGTCGCAAGCAACTAGTGTCGCCGTTCGGGTAACGTATTGATAGTAGCATGTGCAGGCTGGAACATCCTAGAGCGTGTTGCCAATGGAGGACATCCAAGGCTGCTGGCCCCTCCGACGAAAGCAAGGTAGTGAGAGAAAAAAAGGAGGGGGAGGAAGACGTTTAGGGCTCAGGAAGAAACCATTTGGCTGCCTTTCTGATGAGTTATTTTCGTGACACCGTCACGACCAGTTTATTCGCAGACAGTAATTTCACTAAAGCCTTCGTGCTCAGTTGAAGGCTCCTCTCTTCACTTTTCGATAAGTTCGCTCGTACCATCGACCCAGCCCATTGAAAGGGATCGATCGTGCCGAACTGTGACCGTCGTGCGACACCGATTTCGGCTTCAGCGAACCGATGTAGCAGCAACACTGAAAATCGACCGGGAGTTCTCGCGTGTTCGTCGACATGAGTGCCGTGAAAGCCGGAAAAGTCAGCTTCCTCAAAGTAAGTAATCTGCTCCCATCGACAAGGAAAACAAAAAACGAATCGGGAAAGGGAAATATCGATGTAAACCTGGTCGACGCCCTGTGGCATTCGGCACCTCCCCCCGTCTGTCGTGCACGTGTAGCATGAAAACGGTGGGCAAGACGTAAAATCAGTGAAGCGGCCTCCCGTTGACAGAGGACAACTCGAGTACGACGTGAGTCTTCACTTTCAAGTCTCTAGGAATCGATGGCCATTCAGGGTATCGCGCCCTGAATGGCCTCGGTCTGCTAGGATTTGATAGGAACACGTTCCATGCACTTCCAACGGTCCATTTTGTTACCAGATGCTCAGGTCTCAAATTTGGCACAGCTGGCAAAGGTGAGAAGTGCCGATGATGTTATAGACCCACGTGTAAAATAGATGTTGATTGTGTCCCGTACCGTTTGTCTGTCCAGTTATTGCCCCATAGAGGTATTCATTGTCTAAAATGTCCTGAACCCTGTCGTGTCTTCGAATCATTGTGAAATATGTAATTTTCTGTTTAGTTCATGCTAAGGTACACCGAGACAGCCAGTCAGGACTGATTTATATAGAGTAGGAATGACAGTCACCAATACCATAGTTGTAGCCGTAGGAAATTTCCTTTCATTGACCTGACGTCTCCTTGGGGTCATCTCAGTCATCCCGGTTGAATATTCATTGTAGCTTCAGAAATGACCCCAATCGAAACTTGATGTTTGTCTTCCTTCTCCTTCCTATCGTCGTGGATTGTGTAGTGCTTGTCCATGTTTGTGTCTGTCACATCCTGTCTTTCTTGTAGACACCTTCGAAACCGGAAAGTAGCACTCCCGTTGAGAAGCCGAAAGCCAGGATCTTCGAAGAGGTGAGTTTCCACGACAGCTGGAGAATTTTATGCCCATAGCTTAAGCGAATCTCTTGCGAAAATCTTGTGATATTTTCTTGTTATTGACATTTTTAATTTTGTGGAACGTTCATCAGTAAAAATAATTGATAGATTTCGTGCGAACTTTATTCTTTGAAACTGAAGTCATATTTAGCCAAACTTGTGAAGTAGCGCAAAAACTCCGAGAGAGAGTCATTGCATCATAGAGACATAAAGTGTTTCGTGGCAGTTTGGTGCAGGGAAACAATAGCCAGCTTTTGTGAAGGCGAACGAGACAAGGGACCCGTAAAAGAGAAAGAGAGTGACGGAAATAGAGGGTTGTTGTTGGCTCGGACCGTGTTTCCCTTGGGAAAGGTCTCAGATGGAATCCAGAATGTGTAGTACCTGGTAAATCCCTCCCCGAATCTCCTGCACAGGATTTCCGCAAAGTCCGGCTCCTAAAAACGCCCAAGATGGAGCGGGCCATGGAAGAGAAGGAAGGCTTGGACGTGGAATTGCATCAGGTGAAGAGGGAAAGCACGCCCGTTTCCGACAAAGATTCCTATCATCTCAAGCCTTTCAAACACGAGTTCAAAGTCGTCGAGGTATTCTTGCGATAGGCTTGGGCTTGAGGTGTGGTCATATGACACGATAAAAAAAATCTATTGGACTGATTTTTTTTTCTTTCCCGGTTCAGTTTTCCGTTCCATGTTTTCCCCGGGTGTGCGTTTTCTCAACGTTTTTTTTTTCCATTTTCGATTTTTGAGTTGCACTTTCGATTTTAATTTTTGAGTTCTGTGAGTCATAAAGCAACGAGACTGATCGCATTGCTGACATGTGCAATCAACGCTCATCTCATAAAAAACAAACGTGTGGCCCCCCATAAAACCTGAAGTTTTCATCTAACAAGGACAATGTGCTCCAAAACGTTTGAAGCGACGTGCCTTGCATAGGATTATAATACTTGGTCCTCTTTCTTTTTTTACATGCATATGCCATGCAGCCAAAGAAAATCGAAGCAGTGGTGAGTGATCTGAATTTATTGGTCAAATGACGAAGAAAAAAACCTACAAAAACTCCATGTATTCATTCACAATGGGCTCTGTCTGCCCTGGAATGCTTTCCAGGACTTTCGTAAGGTGGTACTCCAAAAGACGCCCAAAAAAGAAAAAGAGGAAGAAGAAGAAGTATCTGATATTGCCCTGAAAAGCGTCCAGAAGCCTCAAAGCGAGCTGCAAATCCCCGAAAAGGACAAACCCCGTTTAGACACTCTGAAGCCGAAAGAAGGCAAAATAGGAGAATGGAATAGGGTCGAAGAGAGAAGGGCGTCTCAGCCTAAAACCGCTTCGATCAAGGAGGTACTCGTTCGATACGCCCGTGACGCGTTGTCTCAGCGTCTTTCACCACGATAATAGTCACGACGGATAATAGACGATGTAGGCCCCGTGGGGGGAAAAAACCGAGGGGCATAAACCCGGATCATCGCGAATTATAATGAAACTAATGAAACTTTTCTCTCCCGCACAGCATTCGGAGCTATCACTTTCCTCCCCTCACCTGCACTGTAGTTTCTGTAGTTTCTCTCAATTCATAAAAAATTTTGTTGTTGATTTTTCTTGATCATATCCTCAGTTGGAATGCCGTAACAGGACTAATGCGGTACATCTTTCAAATTGCATCATTTCCTTAGGCTAGACATCTCTTTAGTGCTGTTTCTTACAAGATGTAAACTTCACGCAGCCTCTTCTTAGATATCTTAGATATAATGCATGCACAGTATCTAAATAGTTCGGTGATGCACCCTACAGTCTCAAGATGATATTGCTTTGCAGAGGATTTAGTAGCTTCATTCAAATTATTAGTTGCATAGTTCTTCTGTATGGAAGTATGACAGTTCGTCGTAGAGTTAACAGAAAAAGAATAGGAAAGGATAACAGAGATAATCGCAGCGTTGAGTCATCCCCAACTTCATGAAACTGATCAAGCTCAGTTGATGATGCAAATAAATTTGCAAACTAAAATGCCCCTGCCATCTCTTTGATATCGACTTGTCTCGAATTATGACGTCACAGTCAACGTCCTTAACCCTTTCCAGTCCAGTGATTCGATTAATAATCACTCCTTTTGAAATTCATTTTCGAACATTCTAGGTCATAGTTTTCAATTGGAGTCTCGAAGTCTTGGTCTTCGTCCAGTATTTCTTCCAGAGTTGGCATCCTTGCAAGTAATTTTGAATGCTCCTACCATCTGCAGAGAGAATTCCCAACTAGCTCTCAACACGCAAAAAAATATGGGCTGGAAATGGTTAACGGCTTGCTGAGCTGACCCTTCCTTTGGGGAATTTCCCTCTGGGATCATCTTTGGTATCGATAGGGGAAATAGCAGAAATAGATTCATACTGATCCATCCTCATTTCTCAATCGACATCTTTAATTCCATTCCATTCAACCAAGTTGATGATATTAATTTTGTCTCTTTCTTTCTGCAGCCGAAGAAGGAGCCTCCGACGGTGAGTTGAAATTTCTTCGCTTATTCCCCTTCCTCCCTTTCATCCGCAATAGACTATCTGGCTTTGTATCGTAAAGTTCCGTAATCGGGGAAAACGTATGCAGATTTTATATGCGATCACGACGAGGATTGCATGCGGGCATCACTTGCGCCAAAACAGGCTTGGAATGAGAAAATCTCGGATGCTTCTCCCTCGTGACATGATCATGAGAAGGACTTATGCACGCACACACACACACACGGTGCACATTCCATTGAAGGAGGGGGAGAGAAGAAAAGAATCCAGCGTGGCAAAGCTCCAAAGATGCAGAGAGAGGGAGAACGAGAGAGACCTTGGGCTCCCGAATCCAGCCGCAGCTATTTCCCCACACATGCATACACACTCACATTTCTTTTCCCGTTCACACATCTACCCAGCATTCGTCTCCTACCTCTCATGAATAATCTCTTGAGCTCTTCCAGCCTTGAGGTCCCATCTGCTAGGGATCGTGTCGACCATATTCTCTCTCCCCATGCACAAGAATAGATTTTGTAGTGAAGTCTTAGTAAAATGTAATTGCGATTATGGCTTGGAGAGCCTCATTGCTCGTGACGAAGACTCGCTTTGCAATATCTTCAGGTGGCATGCTATTCGCCGCTGCCAAATGCCTTCACGCCAGACATGCATCGTTAACGGTGGCATTGCAATTCATTACTATTAACGTTAAAATCCGAAGGTGAGTTCCGATTGTGATTAACGATCGGAGCACAAACGAATTTTTAAAATTAAGATTACTATAAATGAGTGAGAAACTATACTTGATTACAATCCGACTGCGCAACCCTGCTTCACACCCGACAGATAACCTTCGGAATAAAAAAAATTACCTGAATGAGAGAGGAAGAGAAAGAAGAGAATCCCATTGAATCCTAAACGGCTAGAAAACCCTTTAACACGTTGGCGACAATGCGTCCTGATGCCAGGATGCAGATTTTTTTTTCAATGAATACCCTCTGGAACTGCTGAGAACGTTCCAGAAGACTATGATTTCGTAATTACTGATAAAAATTCAAAAAAATTCAACATTAAAAAAAAACTCGGCAAAAAAAATGTTTTCTGGGACCATGCGTCCTGATGGCAGGACGCATTTTTTGACAAAAAAAATGCGCGTGGTCCCACGCGGCGGACAAGCAAAAATAGGCTGGTCGTCAACGTGTTAAGAAAATCAGATCCATGGCGAAATCACAAAGTTCTGTTCGATTAATTACATTATTGCTCTGTTTCGCCCCACGTCCAATCGTATTCGAATTGACTTAGTAGGCGTCGATTTGCAAAACCACGCAGAAGCATCAAACAGGGAGCGATAACAGGTGGTGCAGATCTGTAACCATCGTCTTCCTTAAGTCAAATTCGTTTAGTGAATCATTTAAGTCATTTCCCATCCGCCCATGTAGTTTCTTTTGTAACGGGTTTCACGCCCCAGATCAATTGATATCAGCAATGAACTCCTCGTGATGTTCATCGCAGGGTGAGAACATGCTGGAGACGAACTTAGTCTCGTTAATATTTGGTTTTGGAACCTTCATTCGACTGATCGATCCAGTCCTTTAGGGGTCAAGGTTCAAGGTTCAAGGTTTTGGTAGGAATGCAAAATTTGCCCCTTTTGGCATGCTGCGTCAAAGACCAACGTTCATATGAGATTGGCTTCCAAGGACAAATATTTTTGTCGGGGCATATCCATCCACTGCCTATTTATTTGCAGTTATATTACCTTCTTTTTTGGTTTATCCATGAACTCCTAAAAGCGACGGAAACCAAAACGATTATGGTGGTGGCCGAAATTATGGCATCCCTGGATTTTTTTTAACTTTGATTTACTTTAGTTACTTAATGCTTATAAATTCTGCATGAGATACTGCACTTATTATAATATTTAATTTCTATGGATTTTTGTCAATTTTTATTGGTATTGTTTGTTATTTAGGCATTGACTTTATTCGAAAATTATATATTTTCCATTAATCAAGATGTAAGGAACATTTCCATTGATATTTATATCGAAATCAGGAGCTAAAACGATTTATTTCTGGTATTTTTTATTACAGAAACATCACACAAATGTTTAATACGTGTTCGTCTCCTTGGAATATTTTAAATTCCTCCCATAGACACCCATGACACGGCATAACATGCAGTGTTTCACTGTGACAGCCCACAATTATGATCAGATAAGAACTGGCGTATTTTCTGGATATGGCTCGTTTTATTGCTAAGTAATGGTTGAAGTAAGGACAGATCATCCTTTTTTATCATATAATAAAAGTTTATGCACCGCATTAGCAATGTCAAGGAAATGTGAAGTTCAAGGCAATGCAGTAATTTTTGCCTCTGCGGTACATCATCATTCACAACTCTGGTAAATAAGCCATTCCTCAACCCGAATCTCATAAAGACTTCATGCAACTCGACGACTTTCCCCTTGTTCTTCTGTTTTCGTGGAATTAGAAAAACCTACCACACTCCTCGCCATCGATGATTCTCTTGTTAAATGTATGGATGATGTATCTCGTCGTTAACTTCCCTAACGAGTAGTCGACTCAACAGGTCTAAATGTCTTACATACGAGAGTCCACGTAGTTCCTCTATCATTTTGGTATCCCGGCTCTGAATCCTCTCCATCGCCGCTGAATCGATCTCATTTGCATGCATTCAAAATTGAACATAGTTCTCGATAGGGTAGTGCGGCATACATCGGAAGAGGAACGCGCGAGCTCTTTTTGCCGATAGAATTTCCATTGCATTTAGGATACTATTTAGAATGCTTTGCCACACTAGCCCTGTCGTTATTGTGATCAATGCGAAGAATCTTGTATTTACTTTCATTGAACTCCATGAGCTCTTCATTTTATTATTTTTGTCCGAAAGCTCCAAATTCTCGGCTCCCGTGTAGTGCATAAACTTACCTCGTACTTTCGCGTAATCGGTAATTTATTAATTTTCCTACCGAAACCTTGATCTAAATCGCTATTGTAAATGGAAATGGTCCAAAGCTATAGGGGACTCCACTTTCAACTTCCGCCGAAATTTCGGTATTTGCAAATACTTTGCTTTTTCCTGAAAAAGTACGTGATATTCCTGAAAAAATTAACTTAATTGAAGTCGAAAGATTTGGGTCGTCGACATGACAATGTCGTCGACGAAACTCAGCTTGCAAAGGCTCTTTTCATATTTAGACTTTTCTTGCTTCTATATTTTTTGTCTTCGAGACTGACAATTAACCGACTGACAATGTGCCGTCTCAAAACGGTATATCCATTTTGATGGACGTTAATTATTTCCCGCGAGGCTTTTCTTTCGACTGGTTCAGGAGAACGTGCATTAGTACGTGATATTTGCGAATCGTACTGCTTCGCTTGACTAATTTGCAGCGAAGACGTGGGTCATTTGCAATGTCTTAGTGTAGTACGGAAATTAGACTGAGAAAATGAACCCATCGTCACTGAAAGTTAGTTCTTCATCTCCGTTTGGTTCGATTTACCTTTATGCCTTTATTTGCCTTTGTACATAATTACGACATATTAGGCCTTTACTTGAGAATATATGCGGAGCGAGGGTATTAAAAGGACACTCCAGGTTCTCTTACAGCTTCCAGGATTAATTCGGGGGTTTTGCGGTGAGCAAGTGATTTACACCTGGTGGGGCTTTGTTCTATTTTATCCCTTGTTCTAAAATATTTCTGCCGCACGAATGGCGAAATTTAAGTCGTCCGTGAAAGTAGGTCATTTCTTCAAGGGGGGCATTTAAATCAGAAGGAAAAAAAAACAGAAAAACCCAGTGGCACAGTTTATGTCTGAAAGGAAGCGAACATCGCCAACTCTTTGGGGGAAAAAAGGATGAGGTGGGAAGAAGATTCGCGGACAAGAGAGGCAACTATTGAGGTAGATGAAAGGGAAGAATGCAGTGGGGGTTGTTCTTGGAACTCCGTTTCAACAGGTACATTCAACTGCATTGAGTCCGTAGAAATAACTCCCGTCTCCTCTCGCGCATTCATCGGCGAGAATGGTAAACATGCGGCGATGATTCACATCACCATATAAAGACCGATGACTTCGTTTCGTGATTACTGCGTTGCCCTCTTCCGCCGGAGCCGATTTCCGCAGACGGTTTGTTAATTGGCGACACATGATCCACCATACTCGCACTTTCCGTCGCACAAACGCCACACTTTCGTTGTTACACACAGAGATAAATAATCCATGAAGCCCAAAGTCACACATTTGACTCTTTGGTGTCAACAGGCCTTGTATTCTGTCAATTGAGCATTTAATGGCGCTCGAACTTCAAAGGGTTAATGTGCTGTTCGCCTTGACTTTCTCGTATGGTTGTTTAGAACGAGAAAGGTTACCCTAAGAAAAAATAGGAAGAATTAGGTTCACACGGGGACTTTTTGCAAGGGTCCTACTTAATGCTGAGACGACTCAATCGCATCGCCCTGTTGACAAGTAGGCTTTCTTCGTGGAAATCGCGCCCACCGTTGGATATAGAAGGACTTATATTTCGTGTAACATGATTCCAGGCTGTGCCTTGAAAAGCCCTCGCAGCCCCTGCAACTAGGGCATTCATTTCCCTTGGAGAAGCCTGCATGCAATCTTCGTTGGTGAATACCCATATGTTCTTCCCGTTTCTGTAAAAAAAAAAATTACTTGGAATAATTGCTGAGCTCTTCCCTTTGTGTTATGATAGAACCATGAGGTTTCCCTGTCAAGGTTTTCCATGGTTTCCCCAATCTCATAATGTGTGTTCTCCCATTTTTTCTTTCAGAAGAAGCCGGAACCGAAGGATGTCGTAAGTACTTTCTCCTTCTCATAACAAATACCCAATTACACGATGATATTCGCTGATGCCCATATAATCATCCGTGCGCAACATTAATTTTACATTCTCTGAGTGGAAATGGATGTGACAAATATGATGTCCTGCATTAGTGACTCAGCTGTCATGTGGTTCTCATGCATGCTAACGAAAGGTCCTCATACATAGTGAGTGAGATGTTTGATGGTTTTTTTTCCAGTAACAGTTCATGGGTTTGAATGTGTGTGTTTTACGTAGCTGAACTCAGAAGAAGCGTGTGCTAATCGCATGCCAATATCCCGACGTTCATCAGTGGCAAGTATTGACTCTTTAACGAGCGGTCAGATTGCATGCGAATCCCCCCCGATCCCGACCATCAAACTGGAACGCAAGGCAACGATGCTCTCGGATGAGATGAGGAACCTGCTCGACCGATCCCCGAGCCCAGATCCGAACAGCAGTTCCGAAGACGTGTCGATTCAGGAAAAGCCCCGCCGATCCAGCCATTCCGGGATGCACTGGACCCCTCAGCGATTCCTTTCCATGCCGGGACTCAGGTCAATGAGACGCTCCTCGGCCCCCAACGTCCGCTTGGAGAGCGATGGCATTATAAAGCGGAATTTCCAGCGGTGCTTCAGCCAAGCCCCCAGAAGCGAGGACGTCGACGAGGACGAAGAAGACGACGAAAACGACGACGACGACGACGAGGACGAGGAAGACTTGGAAGGGAGTTGCGACTCCATCGACAACAACATGCTGGCGGTGAAGATGATGGGAAGGCGGGCTTCCGTCATCAGATACCTTCAGGAAAAGGAAACCATACCGGGTGCTTTTCGTCCTCCTCAAAATTATCGTCTCAACCTCCGCCGGGGAACTTATGCGGGAACGGACCCGCGTTTCTACGCCAGCACCCAATCCTTACCGAGTCTGGGGCAACATCGGAGATCCATTCAGCACGGCTCTCCCCCAGCCGGGTTGAGAAGGCCTTCCATATCGAGATACCTGCTGATGAAAGGGGCCTTGACTCACCCGGAGACACCGCAGGAAACGCCTCCGGAAGGAAGCCCAGACCACAGTCCAAAGCACAGCATTTCCGAGACGACCGGCTCCAATTCCCGTTCGAGTTTCGACGGCGGCACTAACGTCTTCAAAAGCATCATCAAGGTCGTCCTCGATCGCCCCCCCTCCTTGATCTTCCCCTCTTGGAAAGGTCTCTCTCTGGGCAGGTACAGCGTGACGCTGGAGGAATTAGAGGAGATGTACCAGGTATTTTCGTGTGTCTGCTGCATGAGATCCCATAGCTCACTACTCCGCACTTAACCACCGGTGAGACCTCGTGCATGAACTCACAGCACACGACGCAAAACCACAGTTGTAAAAGCATCGCTTAGGTCACCTGCACTGCACCTGATTCGGCTCCTGTTCCCCACAGCCAAAGATCATACCCCCGGAAATCAAAGAGCCGGATTCGAAAGAGATGAGTCCGAAGCCGGATTCTAGACGTGGATCCCTGGCCCCCGTGATGGGACGAAGGGGGTCTCTCATACCCCCCGAAGTTATGGAACGAAGGGCCAGTCTTATCATTGCAGATGATGTAAGTCCTCTTGTCCACTTGCCTCCATTTTGCACTGCTTTAAACACACCCACCCCAATAAAAAAAAGAGGAATTCCTCGAGTTCCTTCATCAATGACAGTGGTAATCAGATAAGGGGTTTAAATTCGCGATTTAAAAATTCCGCAGGCTGAGGGAATTTTCGGTAGATTGCACCGGCTTGGCAATTGCCTTGGATAATTTTCACCCTGCCATGGATTGCAATGATCGCCACGGCTTCGTACTTGGCACTCCTGCTTGATGACACAAACAAGACGTCTACCAGTGCTGTTACCTGCAGTTTAACCCTGCCACACGCATGAAAGTTCGCTTCGGGCTCGTGCCGTTTCACGCCAAGTATCAGTAGATGGATTCGAATTGATTACTTGTATGATCATGAATTTATTCGATTTTGACTGTAATCTCAGCTGCACCGGTTCATCAAGCAACTTTGATTGAAGGACAAAAAAATAAGTAAATAATAAATAATAAGTAGTAATGTAGTAGAGTCTCTCTCCCCTTCCCCTGTGACTGGCGGGAAACCCTTCCCGTCGGCTATAAAGAAAAAAGAAACATCTATAAAGAAAAGAGGCCAGCATCGGCCGATAAAAGGCATTCCCTAAATAGAGAAGGCAGTAGACGCAGCAGTGCACAGGGCAAGTGGAGGAGATGTGCGAGTATGTGAATGTCGATGGAATCTCGTCCACAGAAGGGCCTGACCATAGACGCAGAAACAGGTAAAACGCGAAAGCTCAGAGATGGCGAGGTGCTCGAGGTCAAGCAGGTGAGCCACACACGCCAAAAAAACGGGCCAAAAACGATTGCACCGGCTTGCCAAAATGCTTGCACGCGTTAGATCCGCTCGTGCGACTTTCCACGTTCTGCAGAACCTTGTCACCCTGTCCCGAGACGCAGAAGTTCCATCGAGAAACTCTTCGGTCGTAAATTCGAACTTCTGCGTCGAAATGCCATTGATTTTTCGTGCCGATTGTCTTTCATCATTGTCACTGATGCTATGATCTTTTCCTCGTCGCTCTTGATTGCAGACTAAGCTGCGTCCTGGTGAGCTCCCAAAAGTTGAGGTGAGAAGGAGAAACAAAAATTAAGGAACTAAAATGAACTTTTAAGTTGATCCTGAGTTCGAAAGAGTGTTTCTTTTCCGTCATGCTTGCTTGTTCCTTTTGTTTCCTCAAAGCGGGATGCAACTCGTTTATTTCTTTCGTTTTGACGACACAACTCATGGCTCACCTCGATTTTTTTTACCTGCACTTTTTTTTTTTTCAAACCAGGTTCATGGCATCACCCGTTGAGTTTTGTCCTGCTGTTTTTGCTTCACTCACTGTTCTGTTGTTTCTTTTTTTTCGGTCATGCTCCTCATTTTAGGCTGGCAAACTTCGGCCTGGTGAAATAGCTGACACGAAGGTGAGACTTGATGTAGGAGAGATAACGACTTCATTACACCGATTATCTCTCCCTGACTTTCCACGTTGAGGTCCCTCGATGCCCCCTCCCAATTTATATATATTTTTTAATACATTATAAACCAATATATATATATATATATTTATTTATATTTAAATAATTATTTCAACCGACTCATCGAGGACCAGGATGTGGAAAGGGTGCCTATGTTATTTTCTCAGTCCTGAGAAGTAAGAGATTCACGTATCTTTTCCTCCTTTATTCTTTTGCCAAACAGAAGAAAGGACCAAGACCTGGAGAAGTATTGGATAAGGTCAGGCAAAGTTTTTCCAAAAGACAGTTTCGAAAGTTTTGCAGGCATGGGAATCCATTAGTGCATCCAGAAAGTAAAGAACCTGCAACTTTCCTTTTTCCAGAATGATTTTAATGCACTTAGATCAGAGCGAGATTTGCTAATCTCAGGATTTGCAAATCTCAAGACCATATTGAAAAGTGTGGATTTTCTATGACTGAGGAATTGTTATTAGGAAATCTTTAGTCGTCTGTATATCTCAGTGTCTCTACGAATCTCTCTCCTTCGTAGGACCTCTCTAGAACCTCATTAGGATTTTGAAGTAGGTGAGACGAAATAACATAGAAAAAGGTTTCCTTTCCGGCCCGTTTCAGTTCTCTTCTGTTTCCTCTTCCTGCTTGGTTTTCGCTTCGGTTTGCATGCTGCAAGTCTGCATGGCTTGTCAATTTTTGCTTTGTTTTGGCAAAGATTCGCTTTTGGTTAAGTCTACTATTTATTCCTCATTTTCTTGCCATTTCTTTTTGTCAGTAGACGACATTTGACCTCGATCAACCGATGAATTTTTTCTTCGTTTCTTTTAATAATTACATGCACTTACATTTCGGTTCGACCTACGACGTAAAGTAGAAATGTATACTGAAACACGAGTCATTTACTTTTACGTTCTAATACAAGTTTCGACGTAGAACGATATTTTTTTGCACAAGTAGAAATGTTAACGAACGAAAGTGACGAGGGTCGGGAGCTAGTCGCTTTAATGCCTTTTGGGGGTGCGAAAACAGAGGCGGAGATCGACTCAGGCCGAGATCAGACGGCCGAGCGTGAGCGAATTGGAGTCGAAGCCGTCGACTCCTCTCAAGGGCCTGGGACCCCCCGGGACTCCGGCTGCCATCGTCGATGCGCTGGAGAAGTACACCTGCGTTGAAGGTCGGTGACCTTTGCTAGATGGCCTTTGCTGGGGGGGAGTTGGTGGCTGAAGTTCGTTTCTTTCCTTTCAGGCGATAATGCTTTCATCACCGTTGGGGTCGAGGGCAACCCTGCACCCAGTTTCAAATTCTACAAGGTGCTCTAGAGTCTTTCCCAGACTTCGATTCTTTTCGAGACGCGATGACCGCACGTATCACGTTTCCGTTCGGCATCTAGGGAATCACGGAGATCCAAGAAAGCGGCCGTTATAAATTCATCACAGATGGAGAGACGAACACCATCACGCTTTGCATCAGAAAGACGAAGGCGAACGACGAGGACCCCTACACCGTGAACGTGTCCAACCCTCACGGCTCCGACTCGGCCGAAATCATGCTCTACATCTCAGGTATAAAAAGCACCAAAAAAAAATTCCCTCACCCGGAAGCTAGAAAAAAACGGAAATGACGGAATGGGACACAGGTTCGGAGGGCATGGACTTCCGAGCCCTGCTGAAGAGAAAGAGATACTCCGAATGGGACAAGGACAAAGGCGATCCGGATTGGGGAGACCTAAAAAAGACCGAAGAGGAAAAGAAACCAATGCTGAAGCACGTCGAAAAGGTAAAGAAAGCCCTTCATTTACCTCTCTAGATTATTTTCCCTCGAGGTTCTTGAATTAAATTTCTGCTCGGACTCGAGACGTTTCCATCGACCACGACGACTTTCACGACTGAAGTTCATTTTCGTGACGACCCTGAATTTCACGATGAGCTTCGGCTCCAATCGCATGCCTCGAACGGTTTGTTCGTAGAGTAGCGAATTCTGACGAGACGACCGGAATCAATGTGCCCTTTTTTTTTGACGGAATTGATAAAGGACATAATGACGGTGGATGTGTTCCCCTGAATCCTTCAGGCATCGCGGAGAAACTCCCTGGCAGAGATGATTCCCGACTGGCCCAAGCTTACCAAAGTCCAGCAGTCGCAGTCTATCGAGGTCTGCCAAAATCGATGAACCGATCAATCGATCACCGATTGCCTGAACCCTAGAATCTCCCACTATCACGAAACAACGCAGGTCGCAAAACTCCACCGATAGCGCGGGGTGTTCCAAAAGTCCCTATCTATTTGAAATCATTTTATTCCATATTCATATTTTTTTTGTAAATGTTAAATCCCTTTCTTGTACGTAATTGCCCTCCAAAAATAAAACACTTCGGATTGTCTGCCGCTATCCCGACCTATCGCGATTGTTCACCGTTGAAGGACGTCCCTTCACACTTCCCATTGCTTAGGCGCGAATTTGGGAAAATTGGGAAAATTGGGAGACCTTGTGTAGCCCCTGTGGACTGACACGTGCCATTGCATTCCTAATGCGGTATTCTGGGTCCACGAAGCTGTCCGCAATTTTTCTGTACCCGCAGTTCCTGACAAACCTTAATGCAAAAAAATTCCGAAAGGGGGGAGAGGGGAGGAGTGAGATCTGGGGATCGTGATACTCATTTTTCAAAATACGCGTGAGGAGAGTGGTTGATATGTTCAGTTGCAGTGAACATTTGCGGAATGTCTTCCTCGGGCTGCGTTCAAATGCCCCCTTACAGCCTCCCTTACAGTCTCCCTTACAGCCTCCCTTACAGTCTCCCTTACAGCCTCCCTTACAGTCTCTACTTCATGTTTGTTTGCAAGATCTCGAATTGTCTTGTCTGTTGATCACTATTTTCTTGATCTGTGGACAACCTCATTGCGAATTTCACCGCGTGACTTTGTCTGCAACTTCCAGGTGACACCCTCAATTCGTTGTTTTAAGGTCCACATAATGACCAGAAGGTTGTCAATCTTATTGGTCTAATGAAATGTGTACTTTCTGCTTGTCCCGTTAAACAGAACCGGAAAATGTTAGAGTACAAAAATAGATAGATAGGGACTTTCAAAACACCCTGTAAGAATACCCCGGAATCTCACTAAGACCGAGACACATTTCCCCCGGGTAGCTAATGGTTCCTCGATTTCATCCAGAACTGTAATTATCGCCATATGAATAGAACCCGGAATGCCATGCCACACACCTCTCTAACAACACTGCCCATTTAACCCCGAAATCCGATAGCGAACAAGGACTCCAATCACCAAACACGAGACTCACACATCTCACACATTCACACCGTTTTCCCCCCATGCCACACATCCCACCATTTCGATGTCTGACATGCAATCTCATGCTTTCGGTATCACAGGCACGTAGCCAGCAGCCCAGGTCTTTGGCAGACCTCATTCCCGATTGGCCGAGCCTTACTCCCTTCATTAAGGTTTGAGGAATTTCCTCGACCCATCTTTTCCCCCTTCCGAGTCTCCCGCTTCACTTAACCCTCCTTCCCGCAGACTGATAAAAACCATCGCCGAGAGCGACTTCATCTAGATAATCTAGTGATAGACCGGGTTGACCCCCTTCCACGAGTGGGATCCCCTCGCATGATCAGATCTAGAACCTGTAGCGAGTATAATAGCGAGTAGGATTGTGGAGAAGGTCTTGGGCATGTTTTTAGCTTGTAGAGAGGAGTTTGGAGAATAGGAGGCCTTCCCTGGCAGAAATCATTCCCGACTGGCCAACCCTTCAGCACTGGGATGAGGTTAATCCGATGATCTTTGCTTAATCTTCCTCTCATCCTGTCGCTCATCGTCTTCCTCTCCCTGTCTCATCAGCAAACGTTCGAGTCTGACAGATAAACAAATTTTGCATACATTTTGGCAACCCCCGACCGTTTGCTGATCGCTCTAGTGATTTAACTCCTCCTCGCGTTTGACTAACAAGTGTCTGGTGTGCATCCCTAGTGTATGATGGTGATGTTATAGGGTAAACACTTAGTGACCACCATCCAGGTCAAGTATACAGTATACACAGATTAATGGGTGAGTCGAAAACAGTAGAATAAATGGAATGTTAGCACGTAGTGGACCAAAAACGAACACTGCTGGACAAGCCAGACGCTCTTCTCTATCCTCTGTCCTTCTTCCGGACTATTTTTTTGTCCGTTTTTACCCTTCTTATTCTGTCCCGTGAAGATTTTTTTTACTTTGGACTCGGTTCGTCGAGGCTCTTCCATCTCCCTTTCCGTTTCTTCCCCTCCCGAATGAACCCAGGGAAAATCTTCTGGGAAAATCCACCGCGTTCATTTCCTTTGTTTTGTATCGTCTCTGGGTTCCCCGGCCTTCGTTTCCGATTGAGTTTCTCGATTGAGTTTCCTCCTCGCAACGCCATGGAGCCACGCATCATCACACACAGCAGTATCGTCAGGTGTACACCACACAGGAGATGGCAAAAGGCATTCGGAATCCAGATTTCTCACACGGAGACTTCTTTTTTTCCCGATTCCAACAGAAACAAGAGCAGTGGATGAAGCCACTGGTGGATTTGAACGTGAAGGAAGGGAAGGAGCCGAGGGCGACCTTGGAGGCCATCTTCTCGAAGGAAAACTGCAAGGCCAGGTGGCGATTCCGTACCGACGTGAGTCAACAAAATTGCTTCTCGAATTTGATGATCAGGGCTTAAAATGGGTCCTGTGACACTCGGAAACGTGGAATGGTGAGCGTGTCGGATGATCTTTCAGGAGATTTTCAGCGGACCAAGGTACATGATCACGATGGAGGGGGCACTTCATAGACTCGTGATCGAAAAGCCGAAATTGGACGATACTGGCAAATACACGATTGAATGCATGGGGATACCCTGCTCCGCTCATCTCACAGTCGAAGGTCTTTATTTGCATGATTTTTCCCCTTATGAGAATTTTTTGTAAATTAGAACTCGTTCGGGAAGGTGATTATTTTCTGTTACAGAGCCGGAGCCTATATATCACTTCAGCCGACCGTTAGAGCCGTTGATCGACGGTTACTTGAACAAGGACCTGGAATTAGAATGTTCCGTGAACAACGGGAAAGCCATGGTGCAGTGGTTCAGGGGGAAAAAGAGGATCGAAGTACGTCATTTCTTCGTTCTGTTTTGATGTTCACTCGAAAGAGAGAGAAAAAGATGAGAATGGATGAGGGATCTTGATCTTGTAGGACTTGGAAAAGTTCGATATCAGCAAGGATGTGCTGGGGAACTGCAAATTGATTATTAAAAATGCTCAAATCGAGGACTCTGGGGAGTACTCGTGTCGGATCTTCAATCAGAAGGACAAAACGGTGGCCAAAGTCACCATCATCGGTATCTCGTTTTTCTTATCTGCGTCACCATGATGGAATATCGACAGCGTCTCGACGATGTCGTGTCTTTCGCAGAGAAAATGTTCAAAATCGCCAGACCCCTCCTCAGCAAGATGGTGGTGGAGAGAGAAAAGGTGACACTGGACTGCGAGGTGGATCACGCCGAAGCGAAGGTCACCTGGTTCAAGGGAGACCAGGAGCTCAAGGAGGACAAGAGGTCTGCTTCTTTCCTCCTTCCTTTCCTCCTTCGGAATGGTCTGATCGTTGCGAACGGCCGGTTCGTTTAGGATTAAAATCGTCGTGGAGGGGAAGAAGAGGAAGCTGATCATCAAGGAGGCCAAGATGGGGGATGCCGGACAATATTTCGTGAAGACCAATGCCGACTCCTCCGACGGCGAGCTCATCGTGGAATGTAAGGAAGGAATGCGGTCTGGAGCGAATCTGAATCGAGTGTCAATGCGAAATCATTTTTTTTTTAAGATGCCAACAAGTTCTTGAAGAAACTACAAGACCAGAGTGTATACGAGAGAGACAAGGTGATCCTGGAAGTGGAAATGCAGGATCCCACAGCCGTCACCGAATGGTTCTTCAACGGACAACTCATCCAAGAAGGGGGAGAGTAAGCTGAATCCTATCAGTTGGCATTTCAGATCGGAAATGCATCGTTTCAATGGTGTCTCGTTTTCGTGCAGCTTCGAGATAAAGAACCTGGGCGGAGGGAAACATCAGCTGATCATTGCAGCTGCGAAAGCAGAGCACGAAGGCGAATGGAAAGTGGCAGTTAAGGACATGTCTTGCTCGGCTCAATTGAAAGTGGGTGAAGGGGAAAAAGCCCCCGTCATTCAACTTGAAGGGGACATCGAAGGCCCTTGTGACCGACCCCTGCTCTTCTCTGTACCTTACAAAAGTGCGTTTCTTAAAAAAATGTATCAATTTATTAATTTATACCATTGTGAAGAAGAGTTGCTTTCAATAACATCCCCTCATTTTTCTGAAAAAAAAACAGTCTTCGGACACAGACAGTCCCAGGTCGAAGCGAAGCTGGTGAAAGATGGGAAGCCGCTGAGTCTGAAGGACGTGGAAGTCGTGGTCAAGGAAGATCGGGTCGATTACCGATACAAGAAGCCGCTGAGAGAACTCTCGGGGCTCTATCAGATCAAACTCTCCAATGCCAGGGGAGAGGATGTGAAAGATGTCACTATCACCATGCAAGGTAAAATTTCAAACTCATTTCTGTTGTTCTTCGTGGTTCACAGAGAGTACAAAAATGTTTTTGGTTTTTCCGAAAGGGAAGGCAGGGCTTGCCTTGGTTTCCGCCTTTCGAACACATTCGAACTGTTGTTAGCATCTGAATTACTGTGAAAAGTGCATGCCGATTTTCCAAAAATTTTCTATTTATTCCAAGGTAATTCAGTGATTTCTCGATATAATTTTGTCGTGTAAAGAGAAATAAGTCATGCAGTCGAGAAGAGTCGTTTGTTGACGTTGCTGGGAAATCGAAACCTATTCCTCTTGCAGACGTGCCGAGTATACCATTAGACGTGGAAGTAAAGGACATTTTCCACAACCGTTGCACGCTGTCGTGGAAGCCGTCAAAGGACGACGGAGGAACCCCCATCATCCATTACGCGGTGGAAAGGCAAGACATGGGCGTGAAGGGAGGCTGGTACACGGTGCACGAACTCTCCCCGGAGCACCCGTGTAATTTCACCTGCACCGACCTCACGGCGAGGAAGGAGTACAAGTTCAGGATCCGGGCCATGAACAAGCTGGGTGGGTCGGAACCCGCAGTCTACCCCAAGGTCGTCCTGGCCAAGGATCCCTGGGACGAGCCGGGGAAAGTCGGAAACTTGGAAGTGGTCGATTGGGACAGGAAACACGTGGAGTTGAAGTGGACGAAACCCGAGAGCGACGGCGGGGCTCCCCTCACGGGATACGTGATCGAGTACAAGGCGAAGTTCGACCGAGAATGGCAGCAGGCCATGTCGGTCCAAGGCGGAGACACCCTCACGGCTTCCGTCGAGGGCCTCAAAGAGGGCAGCACCTACGAATTCCGGGTCAGGGCCGTGAACAAGGCCGGACCTGGAGAACCTTCCGACCCGACGAAACCCATCATCGTAAAGGACAGATTCGGTGAGCAAGCACGCAATGATGAATGCCGGAGACATTCGAAATGCTGAATTTCGAGTTTTCAACTTTTTTTTGTCTCCAGTGAAGCCTTTCCTGATCGACCAGCTGCAGAACATCGTGATCAAGAAAGGTAACATCATCAAATTCGACATCAAATACGGCGGGGAACCCACACCGGCCGTCACTTGGATCAAGGACGGAGAGGAACTCATCAACAAAGGCGACAAGTGCGTTTCCCCTCCATCCCTCATTTATCACAACTACTTACTTAATGGGTGGGGGAAAAATCACGTGAGGGCGGATTGTTGACGGGACAGGTTCACCTTATTTGCAGCCCCGATCTTCCCAAGAAGCTCTTGGATACCATCGACAGGTTTTTGCCTTCTCTCGAATTTGTGTCCCCCTTTTATTTTTCTCTTCCAGCACCTTATTCTTTTCAAAAACCCATTTTACTTTTTTTTATTATAAAAAAACACTATCATACCACTCACTCTGTCGACCGACCGTCGGCGGAAACAATGAACGAATTGGAAATATTTGAACCAGCTTCATAAAGTTCCCGTGATGGAACAACGTCTCACTCTCGTAGTCTAGTTTCTTGTCGTTACGGTGTGAACTAGCAGAAAGTACTTGACAGTACTAAAACTGGGGATTATGGGTTTGCTCCGGGATCTTAATATTTTTCATAGCGAGAATATTGATTTCAAGTTCTTTCAAATATTTTTCCCAGCTTCTTTTCGGTTCCATTATTTCTTTATTGTTGTCTCGATGATGCCGCATGCTTTTGATTAACAAGATAGGTTTTCTGTCGTGCTCACAACTTGCATGAACAAACACCTCGCCAATCAGACTGAACAGTTAGCTCGGACCGCTTCTCATTAAAAAAAAGCAATAGAAGATTCTTTAGATACACTACGTGATAGAAGAAACGCTTTTTCTATCACGTTAGTTCAAGTGTGAACTAGAACTGTTGAAAACAAAAATGCTTCTCTAAATAAAGTTCCATGTCGCAGCAGTAGTAAATAGAAGCAAGCAATTAAACAGTGACAGTAGAGAAACCGAGACGTCGACCGGGAAGAGTCAGAAAAAAAAATCGCCTGTCACAGCGTCTGAGACGAGTTCATCCCTGTGCGACAGGACGCTGGTGGAGGTGTACGACCAGAAGAAGAACACCATCATGACGGTGAGGAAGGCGGTGCGGGGGGACAGCGGGCGGTACACCCTCACGCTCAACAACAGCTTCAGGGACATGAAGGGGACGTGCAGCGGGTCGGCCGATGTCGTCGTCCTCGGTGAGGACTTCGTGGTCGTCTTGGAGTCTGATTTGACTCGTGTGCGATGATCCTTCCGATCCGAGAACGGATTCTGTTCTTTTTCATTCCGAAGAAATTAAAGGCTAGGTCCAATCGAATTTAATATATGACGAGAATATTTCAAGATCAGTCATACACTGTAAAAAATAATGGTTCGGACTAGAACCCTCAGCTTTCAGAGCGGTTTTTGCTGATCGAGAAACCATTTGGAATGGTTTAAAGTTCACTTCAAAACTATTTGGCATAATGACGCATAATAATTACTTGGTAGCTCTTGAACTATTACGGATGGGGCTCGGCAAGAATCAAGATTTTGTGATCCCTAGAACCATTTTTTTTTTCACGATCTTTGCTTAATAGTTATTCGTGGGAGTGATCATATGAATGTCTCAGATCGTAGAATTGATCATCTGCCGTGTCAAAGTCCTCAGATCCTGGTAACTCCAAGAGTTGAGCAGTTTCAGCTCGTGTAGGCTTGACTCCCCGAAAATGGTTCTATAAAGGTTTAATCGAAAATGGTTCCAATCCGGACCTTTGCTTTTAGAGAGTAAAACCGTTTTTCACCAAATGTGCGTAATAGTTACCAGTTGGAGTGATCGTCTGACTATTTTAGGTCGTAGCGTTCATGTTCTGCCTTGTTTACGATCTAAGATCGTAGTAGCTCCTGGAATCAGTATCATCTCTTCAACGAAAATGGTTCTATAAAAGTTTCACTCTAGAACCTTTATTTTTTTTTACAGTGTATACTGTGTACCGAATATATAAGATGGAGGAAACTTTCCAACAAGAGCTTTCATTTACTTTCCTGATAGAAGAAATCTCGAGCAATAAAGGGGGAAAGGACAATCCATTCAGATTGAGTGAAAACTGTTTGGTGCTGTCGCTTGGTAACATTTTCCATTCCAATTTGCACGGAAATGCGTCTCCTTCACTTAAAAATGCAATTTCGTTAAGCCGGTCCGATAGAATTAATCGAAACGAACTCCAAGCCTTCTGAACGGGAAAATGCGTGGTGTCGAACAGACAAGCCGTCGATGCCCGGCGGTCCACTGGAAGCCGAAGAAGTCCGAGCGGACCACGTGGCCCTGAAATGGCGGAGGCCCAAGGACACCGGCGGCGAACCGCTCCAGTGCTACATCATCGAAAAGATGGACCTGGAAACCGGACGATGGGTTTCCGCTGGAGAGGCAAGTTCTTTTTGTGCTTTTTATTTTTTTTTTTTTAGGATTAGATTGAAAGGCCTGTTTTCGGGTAGGTGTTGCCGGACAAGGAGAAGTTCACCGTCACGGGCCTAACGGCGAAGAAGAAGTACAAATTCCGGGTGAAAGCCGTGAACAAGGAAGGGGAATCTGATCCCTTGGAAACGGATGCCATCGTGGCCAAGAATCCTTACGGTGTGTTTTCCTTCCTTTTTCCCCACTTTTTTTCCGTTTCGAGCGACAGCTGGAAGTATTTCCCCTTTTTAAGTGAACGTGTAATTGGAATAAAAAATTATAGATTATGGTTTTAAAAAGTGCGAATTGTTGAAGCCAAAACCAGTGAGAAAGTATTTTTAGTTTACTTGCTGTTCAAAAAAATGGTCAAAATTATTGTAAATTTTTATCTCAAGACAAGCAGCGAAGAGTCTCATGCATTTCTCTCATGCATTGAGAGCGTTTCAACCGCAAAAGCCCAGTAAACATTTTAAAGACGAGACTGAAAGAAACAGAGTCGCAGCCGACGTCTCGAGACGACTAAGAGTGCAAAAAAAAAAAATGTCGTGCCTGCAGACGAGCCCGGGGCACCCGGCAGACCCGAGATCGTGGACTACGACAACAAACGAGTGGACCTGAAGTGGGCCCCGCCAGAGAGCGACGGCGGCCGCCCCATCCTCCACTACCTCGTGGAGATGAAGGACAAATTCGCCCCCGATTGGATCCAGGTGAAGCAGACCCCCGACAGCAAGCCGGAGATCACCGTCGGCGGATTGAAGGAGAACATGATCTACGCCTTCAGGGTGAAGGCCGTGAACAAGGCCGGCGTCGGGGAACCGTCTCTTCCCACCGACAATCATCTCTGCAAGCACAGAAACCGTGAGAACTTTTCTTAATTTTTCCTCTCGACCCGAAAGACGCGGGAAAATATGAGACGCGGGAAAACCGTTGCATTTCGCAGTGAAACCGTACATCGAACGGGAGAACCTGAAGAACGTGACGATCAAAGTGGGCCGAAATCACAAGTGGTCCGCGGACGTGAAGGGGGAGCCGCCCCCGAGCATCACGTGGGTCTGGCGGGACGATATCCCTCTGACGGATTCGGAGAGGATCAAGGTCTCGAACGTGGATTATCACACGGATTTTGGGATCCTCAAGTGCCTGAGAAAGGACGCGGGGAAGTACAAGGTGCCCTTGCAATATGCCGCTGATGCCATAACGTATACTGAAGGTGGCGATCCGAACATGGCGATAGATTGGTATAAAAAAGCCATGGAAGTGCAACGTACCGGTGATTTACATTTAGGAATTGGTGATGTGGGGGGGGGGCGGGGGGGGGGGGGGGGGGGGGAAGGGGGGGAGGGTGGAGCAGAATTATAATTCTGCTTCCAAAGTAGGAGGCAGAATCAGGACGATATTTTTTACAATTCTTTGTGTGACGTTCATGGTCCGAAATGGGGCACTTGCCCCCCAAGAAAGAGCCCCCCCAGGATGAAAGCGATTTCGCGTTGTTTAGATGAGCCCGGGAAGCCGGGGACTCCGGAGATCGTGGATTACGACAATTGCAGCGTGGACCTGAAGTGGACCAAGCCGAAGAACGACGGCGGGGCCCCCATCGAGAAATACATCATCGAAAAGAAAGACAGGTGCGTCCCACCGACCGAAATCGATTCGAAGACTCTCATCGAAATCATCGAAATCCGCACATCGATCTTCGCAGGTTCAAACCGGAATGGGAAAAAGCCTGCGAAGTGCCAGGGGAGCAGCTCGAGGCCCACGTGCCGGACCTCAAAGAACGTTCCGAGTTCCAGTTCCGGGTTCGGGCCGTGAACAAGGCCGGGCCGTCGGAGCCGTCCGACCCGACCAACATGCATCTCGTCAAGCACCGATCCCGTAATTATTTTCTTTCGTTCCGTTCTTTATCGATCGAAACGGTGTTCGACTTCGACGGCGTCGTTTAGTGAAGCCGCGGATCGACCGGACGAACCTGAAGCAGACGACGCTGAAGGCCGGGAAAGCGGTGAAGTTCGACGTGAACATCAAGGGCGAGCCCCCGCCGAAGGTCACCTGGATCTTCAAGGACCAAGAGGTAAAAAAAAAGGCCTCGAGTCCGGCCTCGTTCCGATTGCATCGACCCAGAAACCAGTAAAACCGGTCGGTTAAAACCGTTCCAGGTGATCTCGACGGGGAACCTGGAAATCGTGAACGTGGACTACAACACGAAATTCAACCTGACGGACGCACAGCGGAAACAGAACGGGATTTACCTCATCAGGGCGGAAAACGAACACGGGAAAGACGAGGCCGAAGTCGAAATAATCATTCTTGGTGAGAAAAAATTTACGAATGTTGAAACCGTCGAGCGCGTTGAACGCGTTGAACGCCTCGATGTCCCCCCGCAGCCGCGCCCGGGAAGCCGAAGGGACCGTTGAAGGTCAAGGACGTGACCGCCAAGAAATGCACCGTCCAGTGGGGGAAACCCGACGATGACGGCGGGAAACCCATCACGGGTGAGCTCATAAAAACATTTAATTTTTTTATTTAAATATATTTTTTATTTTTTAGTTTTTTATATGATAAAAATGTAAAATGTGCCAATGGAAAATCGTGACGGCTGGAAGCAATTTGCTCAAGTGGAAACGGGTGGGACATTTCAGCCTACGTGGTGGAGAAGCTGGACACAAAGACGGGCCGGTGGATGCAAGCCGGCCGGACCGGACCCGAGGAGCTGGAATTCGAGGTCCCAGGACTCCAGGAAGGCCACGAATACGAATTCAGGGTCAAGGCTGTCAACGAGGAAGGGGAATCCGAGCCACTTCAGACTGATCGCCCCGTCATGGCGAAGAATCCTTATGGTCTGTCTCAGAAGAAATTTATTATATTATATATTTTTTTATTTTTTATTTTGCTACTTGAAATTTTTTTTTAATTTTTGTCGTATTTTATTATCATTTTCTTTTTTTTTTACTTTCATTTTTGAGATCCAAAAGAAAATAAAATTTGAAAAAAAAGCAGAATGGATTCTTCGAATTTAGTAACTCGAACGATGTCGTTCAGATCCACCCGGAAGACCCGGATGCCCCGACATCGAGGACTGGGACGTGGACCGAGTGGACCTGAAATGGGAGGCCCCCAAGTCCACCGGCGGCGCCCCGATCACCGCCTACATCGTCGAAGCGAAGGAGCGCTTCACCGGCGACTGGGAAGAAATCTTCACCTCGGACGGCCCGGACTGCAAGTGCCGCGTGCCCGGCCTCAAAGAAGGCCACACCTATCAATTCAGGGTCAAGGGCGTGAACAAGGCCGGCCCCGGTCAGCCCTCGGAAGCGACGAAACCGCACGTTGCCAAGGCCCGATTCCGTGAGCATCCTCCCCTTACGTCCCTTTTTTTAAATTATATTTTTAATAAATAAAAGTGTCCAGAAAAAAATATCGTTTTTAAAGTGAGAAGTGACGCATTAAAAATTTAGACTAAAATTATTTCTACACCACATATACTATATAAATATAATATATAACATATTACAACATATGATATATTTATACACCATACGTCAGAGTACCATCATTTAAATTTAGTTACAGTTACGTAGTTTTCATGTCATTTTCATTCACACGTGATTTTCCACTGAAATATATCCGCAGTGAAGCCTCACATCAACCGGGACAAGTTGAAGCCGATCACGGTGAGGGCCGGGACGGTGGTCCGGTTCGAGGTGGACGTGAAGGGGGAGCCGCCGCCGGAGATCTCCTGGATCTTCAAGAAGGAGACGCTGAAGCCGGACGCGAGGCTGAAGATCGAGAACGAGGATTACAACACGAGGTTCGTGTTGGCGGAGACGGCGAGGCGGGACACGGGGAAGTACACGGTGTTTGCGCAGAATTCGTCTGGGACGGACGAGGCGGAGGTCGAGGTTACCGTACTCGGTGAGATTGTCCTTTATTTCGTCGGTTAGAGCCTTTAATGATGCTTTTGTGATTCCCAGGGAGAGAAGGACCTTAGGGCAATTTTTAAATTGCCTCATATTTTAAAATAAATTTTAAATTAAAATAAATCCCTTAAATCGGCTGAATATTGTAATGTTCTCGGCGCTTCAGACAAGCCGGGGAAACCGGAGGGACCGCTCGATATCGTCGACGTCCACAAGGAGGGATGCAAACTGAAGTGGCGGCCGCCGAAGGACGACGGGGGTCTTCCGCTGGAAGGATACGTCCTGGAGAAGATGGACGTGATCACGGGGAAATGGGTCCCGGCGGGACGAGTGGGACCGGACGCGACCGAGGCCGAGATCAAGGGACTGGAGCCGGGACACAAGTACGAATTCAGGGTGAAGGCCGTGAACGAGGAGGGGGAGTCGGAGCCCCTCGAGGCCGACAGGGCCATCGTCGCCAAGGATCCGTACGGTGAGGAATCCGGGTCGTCGTGGGTCGAACGCGAGTGGGTCGAATTCGTAACGATCGGGTCGAATTGCGTCTGCAGTGATTCCTGGGGCGCCGGGCATCCCGGACATCGTCGATTGGGACGAACACATGGTCAAACTCAAGTGGGATCCCCCCGTCAAGGATGGAGGCTCTCCCATTACAGGTCTCCAATTACTCCAATTACTTCAATTACTATCAGCTTACTCCAATTCCTACTATTACTATTTCTTTAAGTATCCTTCATTTCCCACGGAAAACCAAGATGAACGCACGAGATTGACGCGCAAGATCTCTTGAGATCTCTTGAATTTGACGTCGAGACCACTCGAGCCGCTCTGGCGGTGGCCAGGTGGTGGCCAGGTGGTGGCCATAAATGATGCTCAGAGCCACCCGAGTCGTGGTTAGTCGAAAAAACGGGCTGCATTTCAAGTGCCTGCATTTCGAAATGCATTTTTCTTCTTCCGTGAGAAATGAAAGATGCCTAATTAATGAAGCCTGATTAATGAAGCCTAATTAATGAAGCCCGATTGAGAAATATATGCACTTTCTTCGCATCCACTTTCAAAGTGTGGAAAGATCGGACACACGAGAAGTTTTTCTTGTTTAATCGGGGAAGCTCTGGTCTAGGTTACGTGATCGAGATGAGAGACAAATACGGCGGGAACTTCAAGAAAGCGGCGGAAGTCCGCGGAAACGTGTGCAAGGGCGAGGTGAAAGGCCTGGAAGAAGGGAACAAGTACGAGTTCCGGGTACGGGCCGTGAACAAGGCCGGGCCCGGGGACCCGTCCGAGGCGACGAACCCGCACACGGCGAAGGCGCGATTCCGTACGTTTTTCGGTTCGTTCCTCGGTTTTTTTTGGGGGGGATGATCGGGGGGATTAACGGATGATCCGGATGCGCAGTGAAGCCGAGGATCGACCGGACGAACCTGCAGAACGTGGTCGTGAAAGTGGGCCAACAGGTCGTCTTCGACGTGGACATCATCGGAGAGCCCCCGCCCGAAGTGACCTGGATCCTCAAGGATCAGGTCGGCCCCACCCCCTCCTTAAAGGTCGAACCCGCGACAAAGAATAAAAACCTTGCCCTTGCAGGTGCTGGGGACCGAGGACCAACGCCAGATCAACAACATCGACTATCACACCAATTTGATCCTCTTCCGCGCGTCCCGGAAGGACAGCGGGAAGTACCGAATCCTCGCGAAGAACAGCCAGGGAGAGGACGAGGCAGAAGTGGACGTGACCGTCCTCGGCCCACCCGGGACGCCGGAAGGACCCCTGGACGTATCCGAGGTCCGGAAGGACGGCTGCCACCTCAAGTGGAAGAAGCCTCAAGACGACGGCGGATCCCCGATCGAATATTACGAGATCGAGAAAATGGACATGAACACGGGCCAGTGGATCCCATGCGGCCGATCCGTCGGCCCCGAGGCCGACATCCAGGGCCTCCAAGAGGGAAAGAATTACAAGTTCAGGGTGAAGGCCGTGAATTCCGAGGGCGAATCGGAGCCTCTCGTCACGGATAAATCGATCCTCGCCAAGAATCCCTTCGGTACGTTCGTCCCCTTCGCCTCGACCCCGATCGGCCCCGATCGACTCGCATCCCATAAACGCGATCGTTGCAGATCCCCCGAGCAAGCCGGGTCGACCGGACGTGACGGACTGGGACGCAGACCACATCGACCTCGCCTGGTCCGCCCCGAAGGACAACGGCGGGGCTCCCATCGAGAAGTACGTGATCCAGAAACGCGACAAGGGACTCGGCGGCGGATGGATCACTTGCATGAGTGTTCCGGGTGACAGGTCAGTCTGCCATTTCATCGTCTTTATAAAGGACCTTTTCCATATTTAAAGGACCTTATCCACATTTAAAGGACCTTTTTCCACGTTACGGACTCTGAGGCCGTTCGCACGCTGCACGAAAATCCCTTCGACAGGGCGAGGTTTGCATAAATTCGTTCAGATGTAAATGTCCTCAGTTGTCCAGAAAAGCTAAATATCGTATGGATTATCTTCCTTCTCGCTTAAAAGAAAGAAAAAATATATATATATATATAATAATATTGAGTCCTAGTTTAATAAAGAACGGCTTATTAAGCGATTACCTGGTAGGGCAGTGGCCTGCTTCCCACCAAGGCGCATTGATAGTGAAAAGGAAATACCAAAGGTGCCGGTCCCACCCAAACCAATCTAGGCAATGGGGGAATCCATCCCACTACAATTAAAAATTCCTTAGATACGAAGCCTCCTGTTTATGCCCATACCATTGGCTGATGTACGCAGATGAGTCCACTTCGTACTTGAATAATAATAATATAATAATAATAGAATACACATCAAAGCCTGCCTGCATAGGGGGGAGTAGATCTCCATCGGGAACACGCTCCCATGGTCACAATGGTGCCAGTCCCACCCAGACTGATCTAGGCATGGGGGAAGGAACCCCGCTCCCGAACCGAAACCTGACAGAGATTGTCCAAGCTATGGGAGATTAGCCTGCAGAGAAGGGGCGAGGCTGTATTCGAGTCCTCGTTATTCGAGTCCTCGTTATTCGAGTCCTCGTTATTCGAGTCCTCGTTATTCGAGTCCTCGTTATTCGAGTCCTCGTTATTCGAGTCCTCGTTATTCGAGTCCTCGTTATTCGAGTCCTCGTTATTCGAGGACTGGTGTGGAATCGATCGTGTTTATTTTATTTTTTTTTTAAATGATTTTTTCCTCTTCAGTGGCGCCTTACATCGATCGCAAGAACCTGGGCCCCAAGGTGATCAAGTCCGGGGAAATGCTTCGCATCGAGGTGGACGTGAAGGGTGAACCCCCCCCGGCCATCACGTGGATCCTCAACGGACAAGAACTGAAGTCGGCGGACAGGTGAGCACCGCCTCGCGAACGTGGCGAATCCCTCGCGAACGTGGCGAATCCCTCGCGAACGTGGCGAATCCCTCGCGAACGTGGCGAATCCCTCGCGAACGTGGCGAATCCCTCGCGAACGTGGCGTTCACTGGGGCGGGCGTGGTTTGGTCTTCCAGGTTGAGGATCGACAGCGAGGACTATCACACGACGTTCATCATCACGAAAGGGTTCCGGAAGGACACGGGGATCTACACGATCGTGGCGAAGAACGAGCACGGCATGGACGAGGTCCAACTGGATCTCACCGTCCTCAGTCGGTATCTTTCCGTTTCTCCTTCCGGTTCGACGACGCGGGAAACTGACAGGGAATTGACGGTCGAGCAGGCAAGCCGGGGAAGCCGAAGGGCCCCCTCAAGGTGACGGACGTGACGGCGGAGAGCGTGAACCTGAAATGGGAGAAGCCGGAGGACGACGGAGGGGAGCCGATCGACCACTACGTGGTGGAGAGGATGGACACGGACACGGGGCGGTGGGTCCCGGTCACCACCACCAAGACGCCGGAGGCGCACGTCGGTTTCTTTCTTTCGATTTCGTCCGACGCGTTTTTCTTGGCGATTCCTTCCTCGAATGTTAAGGTCGGCCCTTATCCTGTTTGATCGGCTTAATCCTTATTAGGCGCAATTAGGCGCAATCACCGTCGACAGGATTCATCATCGGGAACATTTCCGTCGCGTCTCATCTCGGTGTCGCTCGAGTGTAGGGTCGTGAGAACGCAAACTGAGTCGAATCTCTCCGAACCCTTTTCACTCTCTTGGGGAATTTATTTTAGGTCTCTTGTTTCATTCACAACAAAAAAATCGGATTTCACTGCGATCCCGGTGGCGCAGTTGATCCCGAACAAAACGATTTTCGATGAAACCAACAATTTAGAAAATTGAGAGCGCCATCACATCTTGTGCGGAAAATGACCTGACCTTGGGTCATTGGTCATTGGCCGAGGTCAGGTCGACCGTCGTCATTCGACGTTTTTTTTTCTTCAAATTCCTCCCATTTTCACCATCGGTGACTCATTTTGCTTTTCAGTGAAATAAGTATTTAAAAAAAACACAAAGCCGAAAGAATTTTGCAAGAAGATCCAACAGTTTCTCAAGACAAAAAACAGCCAACTGTTTAGATTGGTCGTGTTTCGGCGCTCCAGATGTGGAATGAAAAATAAGTACCTCGTATTATTTTTGGCAGGTCCCCGGATTGCTGGAAGGAAAGGAATACAAATTCCGGGTGAAGGCAGTGAATGCAGAAGGGGAATCCGAACCGCTGGAAACGGAAAGAGGCATCATCGCCAAGAATCCTTTCGGTCTGTATTTCCTCCTTCAATTCCTAAAATATATACCCTATATAATAAATAAATAAATATATATATAAATTTGCATATAAATATAAACATAAATGTAAATAAATATAAATGTAAATGCAAAATTTAAATTTAAATGTAAATGCAACAAAATTTAAATTTAAATGTAAAGTTTGAAAGTTTTCAAAGAAAGCGTTGTCGTGATTTAGACGAGCCAGGGAAGCCGGGTAAACCCCAGGCGAAGGACTGGTCGGCGAAACACGTGGACCTGAAATGGACTCCCCCGAAGGAGGACGGCGGGGCCCCCGTCACGTCCTACATCGTGGAGAAGAAGGACGCACTCAGGTATGCCGGGGAATCTTCCCGTTTGCCGGTTGGCGGTTTTTCCGCATGCGTTTCTTGGAATTTCCAGCACGAAGTGGCAGAAGGCGGTGGAGGTGATCGGGGACAAGTGCGAGGCGAGGGTCCCCGATCTCATCGAGGGGATGCAGTACGAGTTCAGGGTGAAGGCGGTGAACAAGGCGGGGCCGGGCGCGCCCTCTGAGGCCTCTGACGTCATCACTGCCAAAAACAGATACAGTCCGTCTTCGCGTTTTCTTATAAATACAGGGTGGTTCATGAGTTGGTTTTCCTGATTAGTTAACCGATATGGAAAATCCATTGCTGCAGAAAACAAGTGATGGCATCTGCGAAAAAAACTCTACCATATCGTGTGACATAAAACTTATGTAACAAATCTAAGTTAGTAAGAAATTACCGTAGCTGAAAATCCTTTGGTAAAATTACTTATGGGTTACCCTGTATATATAGCCATGTCGAGGCCATCGAGCATTAATGCACGGGGCCCAGCGGCAAACGTCACGTTAGATGTGGTAGATAAAAAGATGCCAACGAGCGAATTTCTCTAGTGGCTCCCAAGATCGATCGGTCGACGATGAAGGCGGTGACGGTGAGAGCCGGACAGATGGTCAAGCTGGACGTGAAAGTGTCCGGCGAGCCCCCTCCGTCCAAGACGTTTTTCCACAACAAGGAGAAGCTCGAGTCCAAGGAAGAGGTGGGTTTCGAGGCTCGTTTTCGAGGATCGATTTCGAGGATCGTCGGTCGCGAGCTTTTCGGTTCGTTTCAGGCGAGGATCGACACCGAGGATTACAAGATCAAGCTGACGATCCCGGTCTCGAAGCGATCCGACACCGGCACGTACTTGCTGAAGGCGGAAAACAGCTCTGGCAAGGACGAGGCCGAAGTCGAAGTGAACGTCTTGGGTATGCCCTTTAATTTTTTCCCCCTTTAATCATCCAAGTCGAACCGATTCCCCACCATACCGATCGACAGACAAGCCCGGGAAACCCGAAGGCCCCCTGAAGATCTCGGACGTGCACAAAGAAGGCTGCAAACTGAAATGGAAACCCCCGTTAGACGATGGCGGCTGCCGGATCGAGCAGTACGTCGTGGAGAAACAAGACACGGAAACCGGTATTTAAATTCGAAATTTAAATTAAATTCGAAAAAAATTCGAGTTTTATTAATCGAGGCTGGAACTAACGTGTTGCCATCGTGTCGCCTTCGAAGGTCGCTGGGTGCAGGTGGCTCGAACGAAAGATCCACAGATGGAAGTGGAAGGCCTCACTCCCGGCCAGGAATACAAATTCAGGGTCTCTGCCGTGAATGCCGAGGGAGAGTCGGAGCCCTTGGAGGCCGACCAGGCCATCGTGGCCCGAGACCCCTACGGTAAAAACGCCAACTGGCTTTTTTTCATTGTTCAGCATTAGTTTTTAAATTTTACTGCCAGAAATATTAATAGTTGGTTCATTTGAGACGATAGGTCATCGCGTGTGGTATTACATTTTTATCCGGCGTTTAGACCAACCGGGCGCGCCTGGGTTGCCCGAGGCCACGGACTGGAGCAAGGACTTCGTGGACCTGAAATGGGAAGCCCCCGTGCAAGACGGAGGATCCCCGATCGTGGGCTACGTGATCGAGAAGCGAGAAGCCGGCACGGGCCGCTGGGTGAAGGCGGCCGACATCCCCGGCCCGCTCTGCCAGGGCAGGGCCGAGGACCTCGAAGAGGGTCAGAGTTACGAATTCCGCGTGAGGGCCGTGAACGCCGCGGGGCCGGGTGACCCGTCTCCTCACACCAAGCCCATCACGGCCAAACTCAGGAAGAGTGAGTTTCGCCGCGATCCGACGCGTTTCGTCGGTGCCTTCGCACTCTGACGTCATCGAACGAAAAATTTTTTCCAGTGGCGCCGAAGATCGACCGGAAGACGCTGCACAACGTGACCGTGAAAGAGGGCGAGCCGATCATGTTCAACGTGAAGATCAAGGGCGAACCGCCGCCCGACGTCTTCTGGGCCTTCAAGAGCAAGCCGATCGAGGACTCCAAGGAGATCCGCATCGAGAACGTCCCTTACAACTCCAAGTTCTTCATGGACAGCCCCGTGAGGGCGAACACTGGGATCTACACCATCACGGCGACCAACAAGCACGGATCCGACACCGCCGAGGTCGAGGTCACCATCATCTGTGAGCGTTTCCGCCATTCCAATTTCATCTCTCATTCGTATCAGGAAATGAATAAAAGTTAATTTAAATGAAAATAAAAAATTATAATAAAAAATTGGAATTAATATTAAATTAAAAAATGACAGCCCGGCCGGGGAAACCGGAGGGACCGCTGGAAGTCCTCGACGTCCACAAAGAAGGCTGCAAACTGAAATGGAAGCCGCCCAAGGACGACGGAGGAGAGCCCGTCGAAGGCTACGTGGTTGAGAAATTCGACCCCGACATCGGGATCTGGATCCCGGTCGGGAAGACCTCGGAGCCGGAGATGGAGGTGACCGGCCTCACTCCCGGACACGAGTATAAATTCAGGGTTAAAGCGATTAATAAAGAAGGGGAATCGGAGCCGCTGGAGACGCTGGCGCCGATCGTGGCGAGGGACCCGTTCAGTCCCCCGGGCGCGCCTGGGATCCCGGCGCCGGACGACTGGAGCAGCAACCACGTGGAGCTGGTGTGGGACCCGCCGGATTCGGACGGCGGGTCACCCATCACGGGATACATCATCGAGAAGAAAGACAAATACAGCATTTACTTCGAGAAGGCGGAAGAGACGAACACGCCGGAATGCAGAGGAATCGCGAGGCAGCTGGTCGAGGGCCTGGAGTATGAATTCCGGGTTCGGGCCGTGAACAGGGCCGGGCCTGGTGAACCCTCGCTTCCTTCAAAGACTTTCGTCCCCAAACCGCGATTCTGTGAGTCTGTTTCCACGATCGCCAAAAACGGCAGCGACCGCGTCGGTCATTAGCGTAATTGGGAATTGCAGTGGCGCCTCGAATCGACCGTCGGTGCTTGGGCGACGTGACCATCCGGACCGGAACGAGCCTGAAATTCGACGTGAGCATCACGGGTGAGCCGCCCCCGAAGGTGGAATGGACCGTGGACGGCCGCCTCATCCGCGACGGCGACCGCGTCCAACTCGCGAACGTGGACTACAACAGCAAGCTCGCGATCCGCAAGTGCAAGCGAGCCGACGCGGGCGAGTACACGATCGTCGCCACGAACAGCAGCGGCCGCGACTCCGTCACCGTGACCGTGAACGTGCTGGACAAGCCCGGCAAGCCCGAGGGCCCCCTGCAGGTCTCGGACGTCCACAAGGAAGGCTGCAAGCTGAAGTGGAAGCGGCCCAAGGACGACGGCGGGACCCCCATCGAATACTACGAGGTGGAGAAGATGGACCCCGAGACCGGAGTCTGGGTCCCGTGCGGACGAAGCAGAGAGCCCAGTCAGTCCCGATTCATTCTTGCTTTCCTCTGCTTTCCTCTACTTTCCTCGGCTTTCCTCTGCTTTCCTCTGCTTTCCTCTAATTTCCTCTGCTTTCCTCTGCTTTCCTCTGCTTTCCTCTAATTTCCTCTGCTTTCCTCTGCTTTCCTCTAATTTCCTCTGCTTTCCTCGGCTTTCCTCTAATTTCCTCTAATTTCCTCTAATTTCCTCTAATTTCCTCTAATTTTCTCTAATTTCCTCTAATTTCCTCTACTTTCCTCTGCTTTCCTCTGCTTTCCTCGTTTGTGTTTGATGATGGATCATGGGATGATCTCTTGCAGACCTGGAGGTGACTGGGCTGACCCCGAACAAGGAATACAAATTCCGGGTGATGGCCGTGAACAAGGAAGGGGAATCTGAGCCCCTCGAGACCTCGGAGGCGATCGTCGCCAAGAATCCGTTCGGTCAGTTCCTTTGACTCGGTCGATCCCTTGCAAGGGATGGCCTCGATTAGCTCATCGTTATGAGGTGGGAAACGAATCAGGGTCGAGTAAAGGTCATTCCAGTCTGCGCCGGAAGGAACAAATCTTAATTAATTGTTTATTAATTAATAATTACCGCATTTTATTTTGACGCTCATGGAGAGATGTTTAATTTCTTTCCGTGTCAAATCATGACATCAGTATTATAATCAGTATTAAAAACCAGAATTAAAATTATAATTAAATAATCAGTAAAAATCTCTCGTAGAAAGTATTGGAGAATTGTTCCAAGATGTTTCATCCAGACGATTCTCGATGTACAGGGTGTCCCATAAGTATGGAACCGTAGGCAAACATCCACAAATACATATACGAATGCTCGATCCGTCGGGTACTTGGCGGTGCCCATCGGTTCTCCAGGTACGCTGTGACAATCTCCGATTGCTCGTTCATAGGCAGAGCCATTGCTTCGACTTAGACCATCTGAAATTCCTTAGATAAATGCAGTGCCAATGGTTCTAGACACGGGAAATTCTGTACGTTCTGTTTCGTAACAAGGCGTCGCCTTACTCTCCCAGAGTGAACATACAAGGCCTTTAGTGCATTCGATACGTTTGCCCCGCCCTCTCAGACGAACCAGGCAAGCCAGGAAACGTGAAGGTGAAAGACTGGGACAAAGACCACGTGGACCTCGCCTGGACCCGCCCTCTCTCCGACGGCGGCTCCCCCATCACCGGCTACATCATCGAAAAGAAAGACAAATACGGCGATTGGGAGAAGGCGCTGGAGGTTCCCGGCGAGCAGACGTCCGCCCGCGTCCCGGACCTCCTCGAGAACCAGCCGTACGAGTTCCGCGTTCGCGCCGTGAACGCGGCCGGGCCCGGGGAACCCTCCGACCCGACCGACACGGTCGTCACGAGGGCGAGGAACGTGCCTCCCAAGATCGACCGGACCAACCTCATCCAAGTGAGTCTCTCGGTCGCGACGAGCAAAAAAAAATTCCGATCGGACGAATTGGATTTCCTCAAATTATAATATAATTATATATGATATAATTCGTAATTATTTGAAGTTCGATGCTTCAGGATATTTAAGCAAGAAATCCAAACGAATAATAATAATCGCGGATTCAGGTAAGGATCAAGGCCGGACAAAACTTCACCTTCGACGTGAACGTGAGCGGCGAGCCCCCCCCGACGAAGAAATGGTACCACAGCAGCAAGGAGCTGAAGGCCGACGACCGGCACAAGCTCGTCGTCGAAGATTACAAGATCAAGCTCCTCGTCCGGAACGCCCAGCGGTCGGACACGGGGAAGTACACGCTCACGGCCGAGAACGCGAACGGGAAGGACTCCGCCGACGTGGAAGTCATCGTCATCGGTAAATCCCCGCCGTCCGTCCCCGCGGATCCACCCGGCATGGACTAATCCGGATCATCCCCGCTCTTCCAGATAAGCCCAGCCCCCCGACGGGCCCGCTGAACATCTCCGACGTGACCGCGAAGAGCTGCAAACTCAAGTGGCGACCGCCTGCCGACGACGGCGGGACTCCCGTCGAGAGATACGCCGTTGAGAAAATGGACACAGTCACCGGTAATCCTTTTCTTAATCCTTTTCAGTCCCCGATCTAAAAAGCCATTTGAGATTCGCAAATGAAAAGAAAAAAGGATTATTATAATCTTAAGGAAGAATCGGAACCATATACTGATTTTTGCATGTAATTATATTTAATTTCCGCCACAGACTTAAATATAAAACCTTCATTAAACATAAAATGTAATAGAGTGATAAGAAAGATACTGGAAAGTGATTGCTATAAAATTGATATTCGTAATTACTAATAGAGCTCATTCGCACTTCTTGGTGAAATTTAATAAAACGCCGGCTCGCCAGGTCGTTGGGTGCCGGTCGGCGAGACGATCGGACCCGAGACGGAGATGGACGTGCCGGACCTGCAGAAGGACCACGAGTATAAGTTCAGGGTCTGCGCGATCAACAGGCAGGGGAAGTCGGATCCGTTGCAGGCGCAGCAGGCCGTCGTGGCGAAGAATCCGTTCGGTGAGGGTGGTGGATTTTTTTTGAGGTCGATGGTGGGGTTGATGGTGGGGTTGATGGTGGTGGTGGTGGTGGGTCAGGTGAGCCGGGGAAGCCGGGGACTCCGGAGATCGCGGACTTCGACAAGGACTTCGTGGACCTGAAGTGGACTCCTCCCGCCCAGGACGGCGGGTCTCCCATCACGGCCTACATCATCCAGAAGAAGGACAAATACACGTGAGTTCCCCCCGTTTTCCCCCTTCCCGGTCGGTCCGCGACGGGAAAAAAATAAATCCGGGGAATCTCGCGTTCAGTCCCGATTGGGACAACGTGGCCGAGGTGAAGGGCGACGAGACGAGGGCGAAGATCGAGGACCTCATGCCGGGGAACACGTACGAGTTCCGCGTCGTGGCCGTGAACAAGGCCGGACCCGGGGAGCCGTCCGATTCCACCGGACCGCACCTGGCCAGACCCAAAAACAGTACGTTTAGAATCGACGAATTTTTTTATTTTAATGGAAATAAATTTCAATGAAAGTTTAAAAAATCGAATGAAAAATTAGACATGTTAATGTTTAATCAAATGTAAAATAAAATAAAATAATAAAAGAATTACTAGTTAAATGAATAAATAATAAAATTTAAAAGTCGGAATCCGAAATGCACTACAATGACGCGAAAATCCGACAGTGGCGCCCAAGATCGACCGGAACGCGATGATGGACCTGAAGGTGAAGGCGGGCCAGCCGATCGTGTTCGAAGTCCCCGTCCAGGGCGAGCCCCCGCCGACGAAGACGTGGATGTGCAACGGGAAGGAGATCGCCGGGGATCGCGTGAAGATCGCCAACGAGGATTACAAGACGAAGATCCAGATCTTCGACTCGGTCAGGGCCGATTCCGGGGAGTTCACGCTCACGGCGAAGAACCGGAACGGGACCGACGCCTGCACCGTCAAGGTCACCGTCCTCGGTACGCCCCGAACGCCTAAAAAAAAAATCCAATAATATATATTATTAATAATCATCATCATCGTCCTCCTCAGACGTCCCCGGGCCGCCTCAAGGGCCGCTGGCCGCACGGGACGTGAACAAAAACTCGTGCACGCTCTCGTGGCGACCTCCGAAGGACAACGGAGGATCCGACATCACGCACTACATCGTCGAGAAAATGGACACGGAAAACATGCGATGGGTCGCCATCGGGGAACCCCTCGGCACTACTCAACGGTAAAAAAAAAATATTGCAGATATAATACATTTAGAGTGAAGTTTATTTAAAACTGAACTAAATTAATTAAAAAGTAAAATATTTTAAGTAAAAAGGAAGACATTTACTTTAAAATAAATAATATTTTACGGTGAAAGCTGAATAAAATAAATAAATAATCGCAGGCAAATTCGAAGCATTTCGATAAACGGTAAATAAAATAAATAATTTTTTTCTCGACCAGCGTGGACCACCTGGTCGAAGGCCACGACTACAAGTTCCGCGTCCGCGCCGTGAACCGCCAGGGCGAGTCCGCGAACCTGGTCACCTCCGAGGCGATCACGGCCCAGGACCCCTTCACCCGGCCCGACAAGCCCGGTCGGCCCGAGGTCATGGACTGGGACAAGGACCACGTGGACCTTCAATGGACTTCCCCCAAGAGGGACGGCGGGGCCCCCGTCGAGACCTATATCATCGAGAAGAAGTCCAAGTTCGGGTAGGTTTCGAATCAGCATTTAAATTACAAACTACTCTTTTATTTAAAAAAAAATTGACTACATTTTGAATTTAAAATTAACTATTTAAAAAAAAATTATTTTTTAAATTATCATTTTTTAAGTTATTTGAATTCCTTATTATTATATTCTTATTTATATCTTAAGCTAAAAACTTTGTTTAGTATCACCAAGTTTAATTAATTTAATTTAAGACCGTGGGAGAAGGCGATGGAAGTGCCAGGCAACACGACGAAGGCGACCGTCCCGGACCTGGAGGAGGGCGAGACGTACGAATTCCGCGTGGTCGCCGTGAACAAGGCCGGGAAGGGGGATCCGTCCGACCCGTCAGAGGCTGTCCTCTGCAAGCCCAGGCGATGTCAGTTTCCGTTTCCGTTTTCCGTTTTCCGTTTTCCGTTTTCCGTTTTCCGTTTTCCGTTTTCCGTTTCCGTTTTCCGTTTTCCGTTTTCCGTTTTCCGTTTTCCGTTTCCGTTTTTCTCATTTAAAAAATTATTTCCTTTTGCGACTGGATTGCGAATTTTGTTGAATGTATGATAAATGGGGAAGCCGTGAAACAGCCAGGTTATTGCTGAAAGTTGGAAAGCACCCCGTTTGCAGGAGAGAATGCTTTCCGGAACACGCCGCTATCAGCTCGAATTTTGCACGAATGAATTCAAGATTTACCTTCACGTTCCTACGTTCTGAAGATCTGAGCCGATGCGAATTCTTTTTGCATCGTTTCCTCCTCGCTCGTCTTTATTGACACCGGCCGAGAGCCCAAAACGGGTCGACATGGACTCGACGCGTTGTCGAGCGATCGACTCGTTGCCGAGCGATCGACTCGTTGCCGAGCGATCGACTCGTTGCCGTAAGAGAGGCCGGCAGGTTCCACGTTCTTTGCAATGTGGGCGAAGGATCCAGGTTTTCGGGATCGCCTCGGGGGATGTTTATCGATGCTTTCTCATATTATCGTAAAAGTAAGTTAAGAATATTCATATCATATATAATATAAAGTTATTTATGACCTTGGCCTCGCGGGAAAGAAAGGCAAAATAATTTGTCGGCAGTCGACGCGTTAAGGAGCAGGCTTACGGTGCCGCGTCGATCGAGTAAATATGCAGATTCGCCAATTTGGCGGATCTGCCAAACTGGCGAATCTGCATATTTGCTCGCCAATACAAGCTCGACTCCTCGGAGTCGAGCTTGCACAAAGAACGAGGCTCCATGGATGAACTATCACCTGATGGATGATCATCGAACGAGAAAGCGTAAAGACGTGGATCGATCGACGGCACCATCGACCCGTAATATGACCAACCGAGAAGAAAAATCCACCGAGAGGAGAAACGCGTAAGAAAATTTGCACATTTAATATTTGCACATTTCCCTTTCCAGTGGCCCCGTCGATCGACAAGGCCGCCCTGGAGGACCTGATCGTGAAAGCCGGTCAGCCGATCCGGTTCGAAATTCCCATCCAGGCCGCGCCGAAACCGAAGGCCAGTTGGACCGCCGACGGGAGAGCCATCTCGAAGGAGAAGTTCGGATTTTTTTTTTTTCTTGCACTTTTTTTTTTGCAGAATTTCGGCAGATTGATGATTTCGCTCGATCCCGACAGGGCCGACATAATGGTTCTGGAGAAGAAGACGACCTTCGAGATCCCCGTGTCGGTCAGAGGAGACTCCGGTCGGTACACGTTGACGCTCGAGAACGAAGTCGGATCCTGCTCCGCTTCGGCCAACGTCAAAGTCATCGGTATGGTTCCACTCGTAACGCGTCCGTAACGATGGTTAGGGGAAAGGGAAGTTTTACGTGCGTCATGTCCGAGAATCTCATGAGGTTGGAATCAAAATTGCGCATGGAAACAAGATTTATGTCAGAAAATGTCAGGAGAAGAAAAAAATGTCAGAAAATGAAGAAAAGGAAAGAGATAGAAATAAATAAAATGCAATAGGCTTATGAAAATCCAGAACCGGAACATAATCGCACGTGCACAAATTTCCCAAGTCGAAACTCGGGAAGAATGAAAATTTTTCGTGGAATCTCGTCCTCAGACCGGCCGGGGAAGCCGGAAGGCCCGCTATCCGTCACGGACGTGACGAACGAAAGCGTGAAGCTGACCTGGCGACCCCCCAAGGACGACGGCGGCTCCCCCATCAGCCACTACGTGATCGAGAAGATGGACGTGACGCGGGGCAGCTGGGTGGAGGCGGGGACGACGTCCCTCACCTCCACCGACGTCCCGGGCCTCGTCCACATGAAGGAATACATGTTCAGGGTGAAGGCGGTGAATACGATGGGGGAGTCCGAGCCGCTCGACACGGATGGGAGCGTCGTCGCTAAGAATCCTTACGGTTTGGGATTTCTTTTGCGTCCGGTCGCGATCGGTCGTGCGGGTCGTCCACTTTCTTTTTTTCGTTGCGAGTAGATTCGCCGGGTGCGCCGGGTCGACCCAAGATCACCGACTGGGACAGCGACCACGTCGACCTCGAATGGACGAAACCGAAGGACGACGGTGGCGCGCCCATCACCGGTTATATCATCCAGAAGAAGGAGAAAGGCTCTCCTTATTGGCAGAATGCCGTGCAGGTTCCTGCCGATGAGACCAAGGTCGGGATCTGCCGTTCCGGTCGATGATTTAGCATTTAAATAAAGTGCAGATCGAGGAAGACTTTTTCTGTGTGTAGGGCACGGTACCGGACCTGACGGAGGGTGAGGAATACGAATTCCGAATCATCGCCCTGAACAAGATCGGACAGAGCGAACCCTCCGAACCGTCCGACATGATCATGGCCCGACCCAGATACCGTAAGTCGCTCTTAAAAAAACCCGGTTCTCACGCCCCACCCCCCATCACGCCCCATCCCCCCCTCACGCACGTTTCCCCTTTCCAGTCGCCCCGAGGATCAAGCGACCGCTGACCGACGTGAAGATCAAGGCCGGCCAGATCGTCCACATCGAGGTCCACTTCGACGGCGAGCCCCCGCCCGACGTCAAATGGACCGTGGACGGGAAACGGGAACTCAAGACGGACGAGAGGACCACCGTCACCGCCCTCGGCTACCACACCATCGTGCACACGGTCAACGCCAAGCGCACGGACTCCGGGGAATACAAATTGGAGATCACGAACACTTCTGGGTCGGATTCGGAGACTCTCAATGTCGTCGTGCTCGGTCTGTTCGAGTTCCTGCAAAATGTTTACCGTCTCGTTTGTCGGTTCATCCGTTCTTTCATCGCTCGCGTCTTTCATATTTCTTACTTTTTGTTTAACTCACAGACCCATTCTCGGTTAAGATACTTCATCATTCTTCTTTTCTTTTTTTTTTTGTTACTTCCTATCTTCTGACTATTGCCACGTGTAGACAAGCCCGGTCCACCGCAAGGACCCCTTGGAATCGACGAAATCACGGCGAACAGCGTGACCCTGACATGGAAGCCGCCCAAAGACGACGGAGGCTCGGAAATCACGTGAGTCCCCTCCAACCTCATAAAAAAAATGCCCGGTTCACATCCGGTTTACATCCGGTTTACTCTCGTTTTACTCCCGGGTTACCCACGGTTTACATCGGTTTACTCCCGGATTACCCACGGTTTACATCCGGTTTACATCCGGTTTACATCCGGTTTACATCCGGTTTTGCAGAGCGTACAGCGTGGAAAAGCGCGACCTGACCCACGGCGGCGGTTGGGTCCCGGCCGTGACCTACGTTGACCCCCGGAAGACCACGGTCCAGGTCCCGAGGCTGGCCGAGGGGACCAAGTACGAATTCCGCGTTCGGGCCGAGAACCTGCAGGGGAAGTCGGAGCCTCTCGAGGGAGAGAATCCCATCGTCGCCAAGAATCAATTCGGTGCGTGTACCGGTACTTGCATTTTCTTGGATTCTTCGTTCCGTGTGGATGTCGCGATGCGACGAAAGCGTTTCGCGCGATCGCGGCACTTCGATCGCGGTGCGGCTGCGACTGGCCCTCATTTTCCTCATTTTCCTCATTTTCCTCATTTTTCTCATTTTTATCATGCATGAGTCATGCAGATGAAGGCGTTTACGGATGATTCAATTTACCGAAAAAACGTTTGATGTGATTTTTTTGTCGTCCGGCCGTGTCGGACGAAATCAACGAAGCCGGCCTGAAATGTTTTGAATGGGATGCGCTGACGCTTCGCTGCGATCGCATGCAAAAACATTTCACTTCGTTGGCGAAAGCCGAGGTTTTGGCAAATGTAAGAGAAAGCCCGTCAAGAAAGACGATTTCCTCCGAGATCGCCTTATCGTTTCTTCGTCAGGAGACGAATTCAATACCTCAGCGCATAAAAGTTCCTTACCGCGATGCACGACGAGGCCTCGAAGCCCTCAAGGTGCTCCGCACGAAGCGAGGAGCACCTCGAGGTGCTCCTCGTCTCGTCGCCGTTGCAAGAGACTTGAAAAAAAATAAACGGATGGAATGGGCTTCAGACGTGCCGGGGAAACCGGGTCGGCCGGAGGCTGTGGATTCGGACAAGGACTTCATCAAGATCAGGTGGACGCCCCCGTCGAACAACGGCGGATCGCCGCTCATCGGCTACGACGTCGAGAGGCGAGAGGTCCTCACGGGGCGGTGGAAGAGGATCAACAAGGACCCGGTCCCGAGGACGGATTACACGGACGAGAGGGTGCACGAGGGGCACCAGTACGAGTACAGGGTGATCGCGAGGAACGCGGCGGGGCCGGGGAAACCGTCGGATCCGTCGCATCCGTTCGCGGCGAGGCCGCTCAAAGGTTGGCTGCTTGCCGTTCGTTGCGTTTCTTCGCTCGCGGGCGATCTTGCGGTTGACGGGGGTCTTGCGGTGCAGAGGCGCCGTCGCTGAACCTGGACGGGCTGCTCGGGAGGAAGATCAAGGTCAGGGCCGGGGATCCGATCCTGGTCGAGATCCAGGTCGGGGGAGCACCCACGCCCACCGTCGAATGGACCAAGGACAAGGAAAAGCTCCAGAGCGTTCCTCGTCTCCTGGTGAGAAAATTTCTCATTCTTCGCTTGGATTCGCGGCTGTAAAGTAAAACTTGCCTAAAATGAAATAGTCAGAATTAAACACGTTTGCATCTCGTCCGAGTCCAGTTTTTGCAGGTATCTATATCTATATTATTTATGTATCTATATTAAACTCAGGCGAGGGCCTGGAAGGCATCGGTAAATGTAAGCACACGAGATTAAGTCTATAAAGATCTATTCGTGCACTGTGATCTAGAATATGCCTCTTCCTCTCAACTTTTTTTCGGGACATTTTTCTCTGAGAGATTTCAAATTAACAGACGAGAGATGAACTTTAGGATGTCGCACCTCTGCATCCCCAAAAACACTTCACCATACCTCAAACCCAAAAGCCGCTCGAATCTCGAACAATTAAACCTCCACCCCAACGACCTTGCCCACGACCTTGCCCACGACCTTGCCCCCCCCCAGCTGGACCACCGCGACGGCCGCGCCAAGCTCCACATCCCCATCACGAAGCGAGACGACTCCGGCACCTACGGCATCCGCGCGACCAACCCCCACGGCGAGGAATCGGCCGACGTCCACGTCCTGGTCGTCGACCGGCCGGGCCCGCCCAAGGGCCCTCTCACTTACACGGCCATCAACGGCGATCAGATCTCGTTGGCCTGGAAACCGCCCGACGACGACGGAGGCGCCGAGATCTCCGGTCGAGCCCTTTTTCCATTTTCATAATTTATTTCGTGCGGAATAGAGTTATATATTTTTAAATTATATTTTATACTTACATATAGATTTTTATATATTTAAAATTATATTTTATATTTATACATAAAATTATATATATATTTAAATATTCCTTTAGGCTACGTCATCGAGAAGATGGAAATCGGAACCGACGTCTGGAAGCAAGTGCCCGGCTTCTGCCCCGGAACGGCGTTCACGGTCAAAGGACTGGAACAGAACAAGAAATATAACTTCCGGGTGAGAGCCGAGAACATTTACGGGACCAGCGATCCCCTGACGGGAAAACCGGTCGAGGCCCGGAGCCCGTTCGACCCGCCGGGCCCGCCGGGGAAGCCCGAGGTCACTTCTTACAGTCCCAGCTCTTGCGGACTCGAGTGGACCCCGCCCACTCACTCTGGAGGAAAGCCTGTCATCGGTGAGAATTTAAGAATTTGTTAAATATGCAATTAATTAAAATGTTATTAATTAATGAGGATTAATTTTTAAAATTAATTTTTCCGTCGTATTTTAGGATATTTCATCGAAAAGAGAGAACGCGGCGGCGAATGGAGTCGAGCGAACACGTTCCCGACCCCGAACACGAGCTACACCGTGACAGGCCTTCTAGAAGGCCACCGGTACGAGTTCCGCGTCGTGGCCGTGAACGAGGCCGGGCCAGGCGCCCCCTCCGAACCCACCGAGCCCATCACGGCCAAAGTCCAGAAATGTCAGTGTCGACCGATTCCCCCTTCACCCCCCTCCCGACAACAAGCGGCTTAATGTCGTCTGTCGTTCCCCAGTCGCACCGGACGCTCCGGACATGCCCCGCGTGGACCGAATCGGCAAGGACTTCGTGGAACTCAGCTGGAAGCCCCCCACGAACGACGGCGGCACCAAAATCCGCGGCTACATCGTGGAAAAGAAGCCCAAAGGAAGCGACAAGTGGGTCCCCGTCAACGAATTCCCCACCCCTGACCTGACCTTCAAGGTCCCCGACCTCACCGAAGGCCAAGAGTACCAATTCAGGGTCCGTGCCGTGAACGACGTCGGACCCTCCGCCCCGAGCCGACCGACAGCCGGTACCCCGCCATACATTTCTTATTTATTTATATTTAATAATATTATTTATATTCTTATTTAATCTTATTATTTATATGTTATTTACATGTAATCATATATATTTATATTTAATGTCCCACTGGTAATAATGAACTCACCAGATCATAATGAACCTCCGCCAAATTAAAGCCAGTCACCAAATTCGCATTCTCGATTTCACGAAATTCCGGCGATTCCCTCCCCCAGCCGTGACGGTGGAAGAGCAGCCGGACAAGCCGCGAATCGACCTGGGCGCCGTGAGGGACATCACGGTGAAGGCCGGCGAGGACTTCTCCATCCACGTCCCCTTCACGGCCTTCCCCAAGCCCACGGCGTCGTGGTTCAACAACGATGCCGTCCTGGACGATGGGGATTCAAGGATCCACAGACAGGTACCCGTCCCAGCGATCAAAATATAGCCAAGCGCTATTTTTTTTGGAAATGGCAAGGGAAAAAAAAAAGGGATTTAAACGTTTGCTACATTCAGAAGACGGCTATTTATGCGTACATTTTAAAGATATTCGAATTGAAAAGTTTAATATTCTTAGTCTGACTGAGCAGAAAATTATTCACGAATAAATTAATCACGAATAAATTAATCACGAAATGATCTTACACCTCGACGGAAACGAAACCAAAGACGCCCCTTTCGTTTCAGCTGGGCGACGATTTCGCCAGCCTCGTCGTGAAGAACGCCAAGCGAACCGACGAGGGCCAATACCGGCTCCAGCTGCGAAACGACGCCGGCTACGACAACGCGACCTTGAGGGTGAAGGTCCTCGACCGGCCGGGCCCGCCGAGGAACCTCAGGGCGGACGACTTCCAGGGCGAGAGCCTCACGCTGGTGTGGAACCCGCCGCTGGACACCGGCGGGGTGCCCATCAGCAATTACCTCTTGGAGAAGAGAGAGCCGAGGCAGAAGGACTGGGTCAAGGTACGGATTTTTGGATCCATTAATTAGTGATTAATTATATTATTATTGGATCGATTAATTAGTGAGTGATTTTATGATTGTTGGATCGATTACTCTGTGATTGATTATTGGATCGATTATTTTCTATTTGATTATCTGATTATTGGATCGATTAAATTTCGATCGATCATCTGATTCATCGACGGATCGGGTTGTTGCAGGTGAGCAATTATTGCACGCCGACCAACATCCGAGTGAGGAACTTGGTGATCGGGAAGGAATACGAATTCCGGGTGATGGCGGAGAATCAGTACGGGACGTCGGAGCCGTGCTCCACGATCGAGCCGATCAGGGCCAGGTTCCCGTTCGGTAATTGTTTTCGATGGATCGCCCTTTGGTCATTTGGAGATTGAATGGATTAAAGGGATTAAATGGATCGAATGCAGATCCGCCGGGACCGCCGGGAACGCCCCTGGCGATGGAGACGACGGAGGACAGCATCACGATCCAGTGGACTCGGCCCAGGACGGACGGTGGGTCGCCGGTGCAGGGTTACATCATCGAGAAGAGGGAGCAGGGAACCGAATTCTTCACGAGGGCTAATCATGCGCTCGTTCCGGAACTCAACTACAGGTCTTTTTTCGTTTTTCTATTTTTTTTTTTGTGGGTGTGCGATGGTCAGACGAAATTCGCTTTGCAGGGTGATCAACTTGACGGAGGGGCGTGAGTACGAATTCCGCGTGGCTGCCGTGAACGCTGCCGGGCAAGGTCCGTATTCCGCCAATTCCGAGCCCATCCGATGCCAGGCTCCGCCGTGTAAGTTTCGAGTCAGAATCACTACTTTTCCGACTTTTTTTTTAGTTGTTTTTCTTTCCAAAAAGACGATTATTATAGGCATAGGATAATCGGTGAGGATCATCATACTAGTATGCCATTTTGAGAAACCTCCTTCCAGAAATTAAAGTTCAGAAAGGAAAATTTTCACCAAATTGTTTTTTAGTGCCTTGGCTTGTATGGTTTTGATTCGACACGTCTCCCTTGGCCAACCTTCGCCAAATGTGCGAAAAAGTAAACTTTGCAACGGAATGAGCTGAACTGCTCCTCCGCTCTTTTTTTTTTTTTTTACTCGAGAAAAGGGAACAAGCAGTGATTTTCGTGACAATGGATTGAAAACGTACGCTTTTAGTCCTTTGTCCCCTCGAGTCGTTCCTGATTCGAGAGAATAAAAGGGAAATAAGAATAAAAGAATAAAATGAGAGAATAAAATGGAAATAAGAATAAAAGAGAATAACAAAATGAGAGAATAAAATGGAAATAAGAATAAAAGAGAGTAACAAAATGAGAGAATAAAAGGGAAAGAAGAATAAAAGAGAATAACAAAATGAGAGAATAAAAGGGAAATAATAAAAGAGAAAGGAAACTTAAATCCGGCAGGCGCCCCGAAGATCACGAGCGACCTGAGCATCCGCGACATGACCGTGATCGCCGGCGAAGAGTTCACGATCACCGTCCCCTTCGTGGCGAGCCCCAAGCCCACCGCCGCCTGGACCATCGACGGCGTCGACGTCCTCCCGGACGACCGGATCAAGTTCGACACCTCGGCCACCGCCACGGTCTTCCTCAACAAGTGCGCCAACCGGAAGGACTCCGGGAAGTACACGATCAAGCTGACCAACTCGGAGGGATCCGACTCGGCCTCGTGCAAGGTCACCGTCGTCGGTTCGTGTCTCGGTTTATTTTCCGTGCACCTGGTCGGTTTAACTTCAACTTTTTGACTTTAAAATTAAAAACTTTAATTTTTTTAAACCTGGTCTCGTTTCGTAAAAGAAAAATATGGGAATTCGAGTTCGACCGAAAAATCGGTGCGATCGCGTTAGATCCCCGATACGAAATCTCATCAGATGAAAGTTAAACGGATCTGGTGCAAGATCTTCATCGGTGCGAATCGCATCGACGGGCGTGGGGAAAACTGAATGGACATCGCTTCCTCCGAACCGACAGATAAGCCGTCCCCGCCTCAAGGGCCTCTGGACATCGGGGACATCACCCCGGAGACGTGCTCCCTCACGTGGAAGCCCCCGCTGGACGACGGGGGATCGCCGATCACGAATTACGTCGTCGAGAAACTCGATCCTTCGGGGGTGAGTTTGTTTTCGAGAGAGTTTTTTGCGAATTTTTTTTTTGAGGGTGAGGTCTGAGGTGTCGATGGTTTCGTAGGTGTGGGTGAAAGTGAGCAGTTTCGTGAGGAACTGCAGGTACGAGGTGATGGGGCTGGAGCCGAACAAGAAATACAGTTTCCGTATCCGGGCCGAGAATCAATACGGGATCAGCGAGCCTCTGACGAGCGAATCGCCGATCACGGCGAAATTCGCGTTCACGGTGCCGGATCCGCCCGGGAAGCCGAAGATCACGGATTCGGACGTGGCTTCGGTGTCGTTGACCTGGGAGAAACCGCTGAGCGACGGCGGGTCTCGGATCCAGGGTTACCGGCTGGAATACCGCGACGTCGTCGAGGATCGCGACTGGCGACCCGCGAGCGAATATCTCATCAAGGACACGCGATTCACCGTCTACAATCTTCTTCCGGATCATCAGTACGAGTTCCGGGTGAAGGCGAAGAACGCGGCGGGGCTCTCGAAGCCCTCTCCGCCGTCGACGACCTTCAAGTTGAAGGCGAAATTCGGGCCGCCGGGGCCGCCGGGGACCCCCGACGTGGTCAAGGTGGGCCGAAACTACGTGGACCTGAAGTGGACCCCACCGGCTTACGACGGCGGCAGCCGGATCACCGGCTACGTCATCGAAAAGAGAGAATGCGGCTCCGCCGTGTGGAACAAGGCCAACGAATACAACGTGACGGACTGCGAATACACCGCCATGTATCTGATGGAAGGAAAGGACTACGAGTTCCGAGTGTTCGCGGTGAACGCCGCGGGAAAGGGCGAGCCCAGCATGTGCACGACCCCCGTGAAAGTGTGCGAAGTCCTCGGCGGCGAAAAGCCCGAGTTCGTCCGCACCCTGCGGAACCAGGGCCGCCCGCTGCACAAGACCGCGACGCTCGAGTGCGAGGCGACCGGGAAGCCGGAGCCCAAGTCCCGCTGGCTCAAGAACGGCCGCGAATTCGCGCTCGGCGGACGCGTCACCGCGGACGAGAAGAACGGCGTCTTCACGCTCACCATCCACGACGTCTGGGAGATGGACGAAGGCGATTACACCTGCGAGGCGAGCAACCCGCTCGGGTCCGTCCACACCACGGCTCGACTCAAGATCGGAGGTAAATTCATTCGCGACTTTCCGCTCGATTCTTTCAGGTTAAAAAAAGAGAAAACGGGAAGAGGGCGTAGACCTTTTTTTTGTGGGCCTAGTGACGGACGCGAAGTGCGACGCAGGAAATCGGTAAAAAATGAAAAAGGGAATTTTTAAGTCCGTGAGGCAACAATCTATATCGACCGCTGATCGAACAACAATCTCATTTTTGATGCTTATTGTTTCGTCTTGGAAGGAAGTCGTCTTGGAAACAAGACTTTATCCCCGAAATCCCCAGCCACACGAGTTCCAAGTCTCTCATTAAGCCATTCGACGCTCGTATCTCGGTGAGAGTAATTCCCGAACGAGAAACCTTGCCGTCACGCCATAAATTAGTGAAACTCGTGCGTTCTTGGTCTTCACTCGTAACGTTGCAGGAAACGTCGCCTTCACACGTGCATGACCTCGAATCGACAAGGTCATACGCGTTTCCAAAGGTCATACGCGTTTGCCGAAGTATTGTATGGATTCTCTTAACGTGTAGTTCCTCCGCGAATCGAGAGGATCCCCGACGACCTGTACTTACCGGAAGGCGACAACACGAAGGTCAAGATCTACTTCTCGGGCGACCACCCGATGGAAGTGACCTTGTTCAAGGACCGATCGGAGCTGAGCGAGACGCCGCACCTCAAGTACACGGTGTTCGACGAGTACCTCATCGTCTTCATCAAGGAGATCAAGGACACGGACGCCGGGACCTACACGGTGAACGTGAAGAACGACAGCGGGGACGTCTCCGCTTCCTTCAACGTCTTCATCACGGGTGAGTTCATGCGTCGCACCGATGCATCGTCTTTGTCCTTTGTCATCGTGTCCTTTGTCATCGTGTCCTTTGTCATCGTGTCCTTGATGGGCGTTAGATCGGATTCCCTAAGGGGTAACTTTCAAGGAAGTTCCCATCTCGAATCATCGACTTTCCCTATTTCAGTTCCTTTCGTAGAAGAAATGAGAACATTCAGAATTTTTTATTTCGAATATTTATCATTTTTAACTCCAACCATTTAGAGTTTCTCATCTGGAACATTTAAAGAGATTATTTTCCGACACAGGTCTACCAGGTCCCCCGATCGGCCCCCTGGACGTCTCAGACATCGACCGACACACCTGCACCCTGCACTGGAAGCCCCCCGCATACGACGGCGGGGTCAAGATCACCCACTACCAGGTGGAGCGAAAGGACATCACCCACGTGCACTGGGTCATCGTGTCCAGCTTCTGCAAGGACACCACGTGCTTGGTCCAGGGGTTGACCGAGGGTCAGGAGTATCTGTTCCGCGTCATGGCCGTCAATGAGAACGGCATGAGTCAGCCGCTCGAGGGAATCAATCCCATCAAGGCCAAACCGCCCTTCGGTAAGCCTTTTATTTTTAAATTCTTCATCTTTAAATTCTTCATCTTTAAATTCTTCATCTTTAAATTCTTCATCTTTAAATTCTTCATCTTTAAATTCTTCATCTTTAAATTCTTCATCTTTAAATTCTTTTTTTAAACTAAATAAATCTTTGAGCGAAGAAGTCTCTCATCGGTTAATCTATCCGTAGACCCACCGACTGCCCCGGGGATCCCCGTCGTGACGGAAGTCGGCGGCGATTTCGTGAACCTGCTGTGGGAGAAGCCGGAATCCGACGGTGGGTCCAGGATCCAGGGCTACTGGATCGACAAGCGGGAAGTGGGCTCGGCGACGTGGCAGCGGGTCAACCAGATCATCTGCGCCCCCAACCAGATCAACATCTCGAATCTCATCGAGGACCGGCAGTACGAGTTCCGGGTGTTCGCGCAGAACGAGGCGGGTCTCTCGCCGCCGTCCTCCAACTCCGGCTCCGTCAAGATCAAGGATCCCACACGTATGATGGATCTTTGGGAATTTATTCATATCGGTTCGATCGATGGAGTCTTATGCTTTAATTTCGCTTGAATAAGTAGATGAAACGGAAAAAGATAAGATTAGCATAAATGGACGGATGGTTGAAAATGTCGTTTTCGTGTCGACAGCATCCCATCCGCCGGAGATCTTGGAGCCTCTCAAGAATGTGGCAGCGACCGAGAACAAAAAGGCAGAATTCCGCTGCCGAATCACGGGCAACCCCATACCTCACATCACCTGGTAACCGCGCTAGCCCATCTCAGGCCACATCAGGCCACATCAGGTCATATCAGGTCATTCATTCCTCCGTTGGATCGATAGGTACAAGGGCGCTCGCGAGCTGGTGCAGTCGGCGAAATACCACATGCTCAAGGACGGGGACACGTACATCCTGACCATCCACGACGTGTACGGAGAAGACGCGGACGAGTACGTGTGCCGAGCCACGAATCGCGTCGGCGTCAAGTCCACTCGCGCCGAACTCTCGATCCGAAGTCGGTCTCGCGTTTTCGCTCGTGTTTTCGCTCGAGTGGACGCGAGGGTCACGGTTTTTCCGCTTTCGTTCGTTCAGCCGCGCCGAAGATCAACGTTCCTCCGCGGTTCCGGGACACGGCGTTCTTCGACCGGGGCGAGAACATCGAGATCAAGATCCCGTTCACCGGGAATCCGAGGCCGAAGATCCAGTGGTCCAAGGAAGGAGAGGTCATCGAGTCCGGCGCTCACTACCACGTCCAAGCCAAGGCAAAATGTCTTCTGATCGGACGAAAATTCGAATCATAAATTTTTTTTTTACGAATTTTATTTTTCCATCGATGCAGGAAAGGCACGCGATCCTGACGATCCGAGACGTGACGAAAGTGGACAGCGGACCCTACCGACTCGTCGTGGAAAACGAACTCGGCATGGACTCGGCCATCATCAAGATCCAAATCAGCGGTAGGTCTCACTCAAATTAAAAAACTCGCATCGAATCGCCGTCGCTCATCGAAACCCCCCCGCCCCGCCCCGCCCCTCCCCCTCGCAGACCGCCCGGACCCGCCGCGTTTCCCGGCGGTGGACCAGGTGTTCCAGGACTCGGTGGCCCTGTCGTGGAAGCCGCCGTTGTGGGACGGAGGCTCCCACATCACAAATTACATCATCGAGAGGAAGGAGCAGCCCATGTCTTCCTGGATCCGGGCCGGCCACACCAGGTCTTTTCCCTCTTGCTCCTCAGCATCTCGACGAGATTCCCCACTTTTTAACCCTCCCCATTTTTTTTCCCGCGCAGATTGACTGGTTTTCAGGTGACTGGTCTCAGTCCAGGGAAGACCTACGAGTTCCGGATCCTGGCCGAGAACATCTACGGGCGAAGTGACCCCAGTGACCCCACCTCGTCCACCAAGATCCCCGACAAGGGCAAGAAGGAGAAGCCCAAGAGAAAATACGAAGGTGAGCCGAAATTCTTTTCGTTTAAATATTTGTTGTTTCTAATAACATTTTCCATCAATTTTTCGAAATCTCGTTCTCCTCGTTGATTCAGTCGACGAGACCGGGAAGAAGATTCGAGGCCGGGCAGACGAGAAGGTCAAGGATTATGACCAATTCGGTGAGTTTCCTTCACTCCATCCATCTCGTAAATGGAAGTGTCATGGAAACGACATGGAAGTGACATGAAAACCGTGTCAGGGCCGCGCCGCCAGGACATAAGTGGCTAAGGGGCTTTCAGTCTCTGAATACTTCAATCATAAAGCACATTTGAAATTGGTCTCATACCGAGTGATGCTCATTGAAATGTCAGGTGGCAACTCTGTTAGTACTTCCTGATCTCCTCCGTGTGGGATTTTTGGCTTATCTGGTTTAGCTAATCCGAACCGACCAACTCTGTGTTTCTTCCTGCGATACGAAGGATATGAATCGACCTGTGGTACTGGAAAAAATTTTTTCCTTCTTGCAAAAATATTAGTTTCCAATACCGAAAAAAAAAATAACACAAAGACTTCCGGCAAAGAGCATGGAGAAGAGTGCGAGAAGCGAGAAACTGAGGAACGCTAAACGAAATAACCGACGAAACACGGAATTTCGAGCGAAACGCGAGAGACCGTGTCAGCAACTCGACGCCTCGTCAAAATACGCCGGCGTTTACCACTACGAACGAACCGAAACGAAATTTCGCGGAAATCCAAAACGCTTTCGAACGGATCACCGCCTCACCCATTCGAATCCCGCTCGAAACCCCGACGAATTTTCCCCCGCAGTGTTCGACATCTACTCCCGCTTCATCCCTCAACCCGTCGAGATCAAGACGGACTCGGTCTACGACCACTACGAGATCCTGGAGGAGATCGGGACGGGGGCGTTCGGGGTGGTCCACAGGGCGAGGGAGAAGAGCACGGGGCACATCTACGCGGCCAAGTTCATCCCCGTGTCCCATCCGATGGAGAAGGCGCTCATACGGAAGGAGATCGATATCATGAATCAGTTGCATCATCCGAAGCTCATCAATTTGCACGACGCGTTCGAGGACGACGACGAGATGGTCCTTGTATACGAATTGTCAGTTTTTTATTTTATTTGTGGTCGTGGGAGGGGTTCGAGGGGGTTTCGAAGGTCTCGTCTGTCGCAGTCTGTCCGGCGGGGAGCTGTTCGAGAGGATCACGGCCGAGGGGTACCAGATGTCGGAGGCCGAGGTCGTCAATTACATGAGGCAGATATGCGAGGCGGTGAAGCACATGCACGAGAAGAATATCATTCATCTGGGTAAAATCTTTCGCTTCTCTTCGAGCCACTTTTTTTTTATTCGATTGTATATATTTTTTATCCATAATTTATTTGTATTTATTTATCGTTAGTAATAGTTAGTAATTGGAATTTAATCACGGGATTAGCTTCATTCGTATGAGGTTCCAAGAGTATCTGTCGATCCTCAGACATCAAACCGGAGAACATAATGTGCCAGACGGCAACGAGCACGAACGTGAAGGTGATCGACTTCGGGCTCGCCACGCGCTTGGACCCGAACGAAGTCGTCAGGATTTCGACGGGAACGGCGGAATTCGCGGCGCCGGAAATCGTCGAGCGAGAGCCCGTCGGCTTCTACACCGACATGTGGGCCGTCGGCGTCCTCGCCTACGTCCTGTCCGTTCGACCCCTTGCGTCCATTTTTTTTTTTCACCGCCCGACGGGAACCTGAACCGGATGGGATTTCTTGCAGGCTGAGCGGGCTGTCGCCGTTCGCCGGGGACAACGACATCGAGACCCTGCAGCACGTGAAGGCCTGCGACTGGGACTTCGACGAAGACGCCTTCGCCAACGTCTCCAACGAGGGCAAGGACTTCATCAGGAAACTCCTCGTCAAGAACAAAGAGTCCGTCCATTCGCATTTTCTCCCTCTCGATAATAATTTCTTATCTAAAATATAGTTATAAAATATTAATATATATGTTATAATATTGATAATATCTTAAGAATGATAAATTGAAAACCGTCGGGTGCAGGCAACGGATGACAGCGCACGAGTGCCTGGTTCACCCGTGGCTGAAGGGCGTGGAGAAGCTGGGAGACGAAGGGCAGTTGAGGAGCCAGAGGCATCTGGCCTTCCGCGATAAGATCAGGGCGAGGAATCCGAATTGGGATGCGTATCTGTTGCCGATCGGGAGGCTGGCGGATCTGAGTTCGCTGAGGCAGCTTCAGGTCGACAAGTACAAGATTCACGACTACTTCATCGGTGGGTCCCGGTCTCGGTTTTTTTTTTAATTATAATTATTTCGGTTTATTCTCTTTGGAGGATTCTTTTATTTCTCGAGTTTGGTTTTGAATGATGGTATGATGAAATTCCAATTTGTATGCCACAACCTCGACGGTGGCAATTTTTTTCGATGGACTTTAACCGTTAAGAATTTCAAGTGCCGAAGAGAGAATTCGGAATCGGACTCGTTTGCACGCAGATCGAAGGCAAGCAGCGCCGCGATTCGTGATCCGACCGCAGAGCACGTTCGCGTACGAGGGCCAGAGCGCGAAATTCTCGTGCCGGGTCATCGCCGTCGCGCCTGCCACCGTCACGTGGTACCATCAGAACTCGGAGCTCAAGCAGAGCGTCAAGTACATGAAGCGGTACGTGGGGAACGATTACACGTTCGTCATCAACCGGGTGAAGACGGACGACCGGGGCGAGTACATCATCCGGGCCGAGAATCACTACGGATACCGCGAGGAACCCGTTTTCCTCAACGTGCAACGTGAGTCGGAGTCGTTTCTCGTTCCGTTTTTCCGTTCGACGACTGGCGATGCGTGTGGTCGCGGAGACGTTCGGCGAACGGACGGGGAGTCGCATCGTATCGGTTGCGGTCGTCTTGGTGAAATTTCGCATTCCTTTTCAAATTTCTCCTGGCAACATTATCGTGATTTAGCGATTCGCCGGTTTGGTCGTACCGTCACAAGATCGTGGTGGTGGCTCGGGATGGGCGCACCGAGCGATTCCCTCGTCCCAAGCCGTCGTCTTCGTTTGCAACACCGTTTATCCCGATTTCGATTACTTGGAAGAACGTTTCGTTTCGTCGACGCGATTAGCGGTGCCGTCAGAAACGCCGGCGTACAAGCCGGAGACGGGTCGCGTGAGACGACGCGAGGGCCTGCAATACAAGAAACTCTGGGAAGACGAGAAGGATTCCGCGCCGAAATTCACCTTCTTGCTCCGACCTCGAGTGATCCAGGTCGGACTGGCGGTGAAGCTCCTCTGCTGCCTCTCCGGGAAGCCCATGCCCGACGTACGGCCGACTTCCTCTCGCTTTTCGCCTCCTCTCTCCTTCGACCTCCTCTCGCACTCCGCGGATTCCGTCGTCTCTCTGCAGGTGAAATGGTTCAAGGGATCCCGGGAGCTGAGCAAGTACGAGTACTCGATGATGCACGTGGACGGCGTGGTGACGCTGGAGATCCCGACCGTCCGGCAGGAAGACGCCGGGAAGTACAAGTGCGTCGCCACCAACTCCCTCGGCCAGGACGAGACCAGCTGCGTCGTCATCGTCGAAGGTAGGACTGGCTTGCGGTTCGGACCGATCCACTTCGCTCTTACGGGAAAAAAAAAGTCGACCGGAAGCAGACGGGACCGGAATGATGTATCCGTGAACTCGTATTTCTCAGGGGGTAAAGTGAATCCGGAACAGTACGCTGAGCTGCTCAAAGAAGCCACTGCCAGAGGTATTGAAAAAAGCAACTTTCCGAGTGGGAAACTAGTAGGAAAAGTACACGTTTTCGTGTACTGTATATGATGCGAATAGATGAATAGGGAGACAGAATCGTTTGTGCACATTCCCCCCCCCCCCCCTGCTTTCCAATTGCGAGATCGAATTAGAAAAGTCCATGTTTCCATCCCCGGTCGGTGCATTTCCCCACGATTTTCACCCAGCAGAAAGGACGAGGATTATGACAAATGTTTGGCTCGTCTCGCATGGATTCGTTAGCATCGCATCGATTTGGTTTCGTAGCGCTCTATAACCCCATTTTGCACGACTCGTTTCTCCCCTTTTTGACCGAAATGCATGCTTGCCCTCGTAGACGAGTTTTTCGCGATCTCGGCGAAAGTGAGTCTCACTCGACGCCAGGTTCTCTCTCTTATTTCCAGTCTTTTCTTTATTTTCTTTTAAACCGTAACGAGGTTTAACTCGATTTTCTTCTTCTCGAGTCGAGAGACTAAAATGCTCAAGCCGTAAAGATACGTAATTAACTCTAACAGCCATTACGCACAGAGAAGTTGGATCGGAGATGAAATTCTGACACGCGTGACCCATGTTTGCGGGCAGATCGACGATTCGACCCGTCGAAGCGCGTGCCCGTCTCTTCATCGTCGGCGGGAGGGACGACGGACGACTACAGGCAGAAGACGAGCCATGTGTCCTCGTCCCACGAGAGCCGCCACGAGAGCCGCCACGAGAGCCACCGCGAGAGCCTCCGCGAGAGCCGCCAAGAATATTCTTCCACGTCCACGAAGCAGGGCACTCATAAATCCTCATATTCGGTTCGTTTGCGACTGGGAAAAAAAATCGGGGCGGGGATTTTTTTACTCTGAATTTACGTGTCGTTCTCGGGCGCAGAGCTCGTCGAGTCGAGTGAAGGAGTCGTCGAGCAAGTACGGGACGTCGTCGGTGGATGCTTACAAGGCGAAGAGATACGGGATCGCCCCGACGGGGAGCCCTGCCCGATCGCGAACTGCCACGAAGGAACTCGAGCGTGAGTCGCTGCATTGTGCTCGATCTTAGCCATCGCGAAAGGTTAAACTTGGATCAAATCTTGATGATGAGATGGGATCGTCTCGTATGAAACTGTAAGGCTTGCGAGCGTGGAATAATCGGAACGTTTCGACTCTTCGGGATGATTCCACGATGATCCATTCCGATCGAATTCGAAATAATTTCCTGCGCACGAATTTTCCTCGACCGATCGATTCACGTTTCCATATTACCCTTGACAGTCCCGCAAGATTCACCGATGAGCGCGCCGGAGTTCATCCGGGGCCTGACGGACCAGACCGTCCGGGACGGGGACACCCTCTCGCTGAAATGCTCCATCAAGGGCGACCCGGATCCCAGGGTGGAATGGCTCAAGAACGGGGAGGCCCTGTCCTCGTCCGACATCCTCGACCTCAAGTATCGGTCGGGGGTGGCCACCCTCACCATCAACGAGGTCTATCCCGAGGACGAGGGCCTGTACGTGTGCAGGGCCACGAACACCCTCGGGACCAAGGAGACCAAGTGTCGACTCACGATCACGCGTATGTCCGATTCTTTTTAAGAGATTTCGTGCTTCGGATCCGGTGGGGTGAGGACCTCCTCTGAACTTGCGGTCGCCTTGGTCCAACGGTTACCAAAACCATTTTTAATAATATTGATGGAGGAGTTTCCTGGAAGAAAAGGCCTGAAAAGGCCGGAAGAAAAGACTTTCTATTTTTTTCGGCGTCCAAAATGCTTTCGAGAAGAACCTCCTTTAGATGTAACTAGATCTTACTCCATGCACATATGTGATGGTATTTTCACCGAAAATTGAGCTCTTTTTCTAATTATTTCATCAAAGTACTGATTTGCCTTTTTTTAAAATCCATTATGTCACAAGCGAATGAATCCTCTTTGGATGCCGCCATATTGGAAATGATTGCGTGAATGGTCACGTTCCAATTCAGAGTGGAAACGGAAGACGAACGGGTTCTCGTTCCGTTGCATAACTCAGGCAAAATTATTTGCGGTCTTTGGAAAGAGGGCACGAAATTGTGAGGCCCCACTCCCGGGGAACTCCTCGATCGTGTCCAGAACGGGATCCCGATGGGGAACGGTTAAAGTGAATTTTTTGGAGACGATGGGAAATGGTGGAATTTCGGGTGTGTTCATGCGTGTGTATGCCGCAGCGATGGGTAGCGAAAGAGGAGTGGGAGGTCCGAAGAGCCTGGACAAGCCGCCGAAGATCACGGACCACCTTCGCTCTTCTACGGTGAACGACGGGGAACGGGTCACCCTCTCCTGTCGCATCTCAGGTCTCGACATCTCTCTCTTTCTTTCTCTCTCTCTCTCTCTTTTTTTTCTCTCTCTCTCTTTCTCTCTCTCTAACTTTTTGTGGCCTTTCACCGCTTCTTCACGGCGTAAACGGAACAGTTAATTGGTTCAAGATATGCATTGTGATGTTATAGACGAGATTTCCAAGCTTTCTACTAAGTAGCTTCAGGAACCCACCAATGAATCAGGATAAAAACAAAGGAGGTGAAGCCATTGAGCATAGGCCATAATACGGGGCATGAGTTTAGTGCCACGTGGCAGGAACCATGATTTTCCTCCAAACCTTTCGGTCCTGTCTCTCAGCTGCAGCGGGTATTAACAGGACCCTTACATTATAGTCTCCTGCATTAGCAGCTTTTTCGTTTTTTTTTTTCCTCACTCCAAATGCCGCATCATAATCTTTCAGACCAAAAACTTTGGCCTATCTTTGCTGGTATGATGCAAAATTAGCACCATTGAGCTGTGCATTCCATAAAAAAAAACTGTTTGAAAGTAGTTGTTAGCTGGTGTTCAAATTTTAGTCTCTCTCAGCAAAATTTTTTGAAGCAAATGACAACTGGAACTTGGTGAATAAGGCCAGGACCTTTTTCAGGCCACGTTGATAAGGTTCTCACTTTGAAAGACACTCAAGCCCAAGATGCCACGTGACTGTATCGCACCGATGCTGGAATTTAGCAAAAAAAAAGTAATAAATGGCACAGGAAACAACTTTTCATATCGTGCCGAGAACAGCTTCTTTAAAGTTTTCCGTTCAAAATCATGCTGATTGCAGGCATATTGCATATGAGAATATTGGTACGCTTCAACTACACTATAGCCTTGTCGGAAGTGAAGAAATGCATCATGTATGAACAATGTGCGCAGGAGCGAAAAACTTCGACGTGGTTTGGCTGCACAATGACAAGGAGATCAAGCCGAGCAAGGACTTCAAATACTCGACAGTAGGAGACAAATACAGCCTGGAGATTGCGGAGATTTTCCCAGAAGATTCCGGTGTTTACACGTGCGAGGCCTTCAACGACGCCGGCGAGGCCTTCTCCACCGCTTCGCTCGTCGTCAAAGGTCCGCTCTCGTAACCGTCTCGGCCGACCGATCGATCGGTGAAACGAGGCATGAAACGACGTTTTATTGATTCCAGTGGCGAACGAGGAACCCCGGGGTCTCGTGATCTTGAGGTTCCCTCAAAGCGTCACGGTTCGGGAGGGACAATCCACTTCCTTCACCGTGGAGGCAGACACCCAGCCGCTGAAAGGTATCGTATCGAAGACCCGTTCCTCTCCGTGTTTCGTTCCATTCCTGATATCGTGTCCATGGGGGATGCAGTGACGTGGACGAAGGACGGGAGGGCGATCGACGAAGGGAGCACGCGCTTCAAGCTGACGCAGGAAGGGAAGAAGCGTTACACGTTGGAGATCCAAGACACTCTCATCACTGACATCGGACAGTACGCGGTTCGGTTGACGGGCAAGAAGGGGGAGTCGCAGGCCGCCTTCGCCGTCAACGTCTTCTCTCGCGACGACCTCTGAAGAAAGGAATTAAGACTTACATCTCATGTGATTCGGGTGTACAGCGGGTGAGAATCTTCGTCGGATTATTGAATTCTATATACTGGATTCTTTGGTCGAGCCTGAAAGGTCGTGGATTGCTTTTCTTCCCCAGAACGAGAGAGAAGGTTGTCAGTGTCACATGACGGAATGCATCTGAGAAGAAATTCTGTAACAATGCTGCAATATTACACCTATCTCTCTTTTCTTCCTCTTCAATTTTTATTTCTCCCCTTCCTCTCTCTATCTTCCGTAACACCTCCTCCCCCCTGTCTCTCCTCATGTCCTCATTGTCTAGTAATGTCCTCGTCGTGCCTGAGAGCCCCGTTTCTGTGATCTTTGGTGCCATGAAAAAAAAAGCCATCTCTCTCCACTGACTTCCATCGTTAGGATAACAAGATCGTCCTGGTGGAACGGGACTCTCAGTCGCGCAGTCTTTAATAGATCACCATGTGCGTGCTGTTCGATGAGCAAAGTATATAAAATAAAAAGTGATTTTGAAATGATTCCGCGTGTGATGCCATTGTGACCCGTCCTGAGTTAGATTCCTGAAATTGATTTGTTCCTGCAGTTCGATCCTGCATGGGATTGCCGCTCGAAACGTTGAGAAGCTGCGACTCGAACAATCAAGATAATACTGGTGAAGACTCGAATCTAGAGAGTCCACCTAAAGGGTATAGTTAGCAGTGCAACGCCAAGTTGATGAACTTCATGACATGAAGATTTCGCTCCGCGAGCCGTTGTGAGTCCATCGTGGTTCGTAGTTCGTAAACGTGGAAGTTTCCCCTTGAAACACATTCCTCTTACACCGTCGATGCTCTTCCTCCAAATTCCAAAATAAAAATTCTACATATCGTCGATGATCTGACAATATGTACAATAGGGCGATCATGTAATTTCGACCGACTTCCTCTGAAATACATTGAACAATGTACACATTCTGCTTTGTATAGCAGAACAAAGACTTCAACATGAGCTGGTTGGAAGCGTTAACTAACGTTTACGTTTAGAAAGCATAGAGGACTCAACATATGGTACAATGGAGAAAAGATTATTACTTTTCAATCCCTTATGTATCAGTTGGCGATTCTTTCTCCTCGATTTCTTTTTTCCCTATCGGGATATAGAAGTGTCACTCACTGTTAAGCGTGGGCATGACGTCTCTATATTTACTTTTCTCTAGCTCAACTTGAGGAAGGACCATGAAAAGAACAATTTGCTTCTTTCTCTAAATTATTAAAGAAAAATGGTATGCCTTGAGAACGGAAGAAGCGGGAACGTGTCGGAGGACTCTCAGGTGAGTCTCTTCACCCGCATTAATGAGTCCTTGGACTGGTGACTGCTTAGTCTGATGCACCATACAAATCCAACTCATTTGAAAGAATCCATCGGTCATTTGAATTACACTTTACTGGTGAAATCATTGTGAATAAGTCGAGGATAACGAGAACTGAGGGTTTTGGAAAAGGAAAAGTTCAAACTCAACTCGAAGGAGGACCAAGATCCAGTAGGCCTCTAGGTTGCCCGCTGCTTAAACCACTTCGGTTTTGTCACTTTATGCAGGGAGTCTCGAGTCCACCACTCCATTAGGCCTCTATCTGACTCCCCATTGCAATATTCACACTGTTTTTGGATAGGTTCCAAAGTTAGGATGGGATGATTTAGGGCCTAATCCATTGGACACACATATCACAATGGGAGGATATATGAGGCTTCAGAACGAAATCCATATGCGACTCAGATGCCAAGATGCAATTAAGGGGAAAGTCCAGGAGATACGTGAACAAAACAGCAGTACTCCAATGAAGCCTGAAGGAAAATCCATGCCTTAACAAGACAAAAAATTACTCTTCTGGGCGATGCTGCAACGCCTTTCATATTTATTCACGTCGCATGAAGTCAGGGGTGGCCACAGCGACCACCTTTTGCTTTTCGGCGATCCTACATGCAGCGATACGAATTAAAACCCCGGGTGAAAATGAGAAATGATGATTACCATCCACAGACACAGACACCACGAAACATAACCCTTCAAGGGTTCATGGCTAACTAAATTCTTCTGGCCTAGGACTGCCGTAAAACATCGTATTTTTATGTTAGTCCTAGGTCCTATATCCACATAAGAGGCATTCAGATAGGTCTGTGCTGACTTATGACAGGGATGAGAAACAAGCGCAAGTGAGGGGAGACAGAATACGATCCAGGGTGAGGTTAGAGATGACCGACGATGTCGCCATATGGAGAAGGGAAACAACCACGACTGGCATCTAGTGGCAAATACATGCAACAATCGGAAGACGATGCGTGAGCGTCAGCCTTCCTTTAAAACCCGGGGTTTTAAAGGAAGGCTGACAGGTTTTTGGAAAAACAAACAAACAAACAAACTGCATCATGCTGTGATGTTCTTTGATGACATCCGATGACCAGCACCATCAACGTGCGGGGCAATGCATGGGAGCACGTGCTCAATTGAAGGCCCGCCGAGAGATAAAAAAATCCAGATGGCTATGGTTCCCATTAGCGTTGTCTGTCTGTAAAAGAAAATTATATTCCTTGCTTCTCACTCATAATAATTCATAATTTCCCTTGACGGCTTGCCAAGTGTCTTTTCGTGAAAAGGTCTCTCTTCGTGACGTCTGCGTATAGAAATGACAGGCAACTTGAGTCGGATTGTCTTGGCCTTTCCACCACGTGGTTCAAAGTGATGAATGTGATCGTGGAAAAAATTGTGGTGGACTCCCTCGATTGGGAAAGGACGTGCAATATTTTACCCTAGATACTCTGTGCAAGGCTTAAGTGTTACGATGAGGCATCCACTCGTATCCAATGACCTTAGGCCAATGCGAGCTATGAGTTCAGCCTAGCATACACAGTGATTTTCGATTGATTGCATCCCTTCCCGACCCCCTTCTGAACACCGTCACGTACCATTATAATTAAGTATCACAGTAGAGACCTTGACTCACACTTTTGCTTTAATAAATCTAGTTTCAGAAATATGCTTTTCCCAGAAGTGTGACCTAGAGAAAAAATGCACTTCGTATGCAGTTGCATCGTATTAAGGTACACGTCAGAATATGGAATTTAAAGTCTATTTGTCATGGGTTTGCAGTATCAGGGTAAAACAGTAGGGAAAGGGGGGTGGTCACAAAACGAACCATACCCACAAAATTGACCATAGTCACATACTGGTTACCCTCAGCTATAAATATGAAGCTGGTATCTTGGTATACTCCCCGAAGGAAGTGATATATCAATATTTGTAGTTTTGACATGAGTGATGAAACTTCAAAGCATGTTTAACTGTGTAATACTTGATATAAAAACCATAGGCATGAGCTGATGAAACAGGTAAGAGGAAAGATGCTGAATGAAAGTTGTCACACAACCCAGATCCCACTTGGATGAGTCCAGAGGCTGCCAGGATGCCATTAAGTATATGCCATCCAAGGGGTGCAAGGAGGTCAGCACCAAAGGAGTGGGTGTGTCCTCCCAAATGCTTTGATCATCCTGACCTACGTGTACAAAATTGTTGAATTATTGACCTTGAATGTGTTACAGGCAAGAGAGGATGGCAAAACATCTCTCCAACCCTCATCCCAGTAGTGAAAATCCAGGAGACACCAGGATAGCATGGCATTTACAATATCCAAAGAGTGCAAAGATAACACCACCTACATATATCTGGACAGCTTGTTGGGCCTCTCCACCTCACATTGACCCTCACTCAGTCTTGACACTCATTCAGTCATTCTGAACTTTGAGAACTTATAGTGGTAATTATCTTCCTGGTGACACAAGCAAGAGAAGACAGCCAAGCTAGAACAAATTAAGTCATAACTTCCTACAATCATCCAAGACAGCTAGGACCTTGAAACCAGTGCATGTCCAGATTGCTTCCTTCAGATCAATGTAGGTGTATGTTTCAAAGTGTTTTATATGGTCATTGTTTGCCCCAATGGCTGTGATTGTGTATTCACTTACTACAATTCTGGCTAAGGTTACTGTCTTCCATGGATATTGAACATCTGTTTGTATCCTGGATATGTTTTCCTGTTATATCCTTTGATTTATATTTATTTATATTTAAATACTTTGTAATATCTTTCAAAAGTGTTGCTTCACTTACAATATTAGTTTATTTTATTTTCTGGGAGGCTTTATTCAGTGCCTATTTTTAGCTCACAAATTTCATGCATAAAGTAAAACTCTTCTCCTTACATATATCTCTAAATTGTTAAAGTAAAGATATAGGTTGAAGGGAAGGGGAAGAGGAGATTAAATATCATCCTATTGGCACATTTTTACTTCTTACCATTCCCCTATGGATTGTTCTCATGGGAAAGAACATGGGTTCCCTGGGTGAGCTGGATCAACTGGAGATGTGAGATGAGAAAGAACGCAGACTGGGTTTTGGGGGGTGACTCCAAGGGTATGAGGAATGTGTGTGATACTGCTCAGTGATTGAAGAAGGGTGTGCCTGGCAGTGGGATTGCTACTTCGATTAGGAGAAGTACTTCTTGCTCCTGCTAACCCACTTCACTAAGGGTTTATGAAAGCCTATTTGGAGGGTGAGTTTGTTTTTCATCTTAGCTGCAAAAATAGAGTTGGTGCAAATATTGCCACAAAACTGATACTTGTTCCTGGACTTATGTGAATTTTCAATTGCAGTTAAATGGGAAGATCAAAGAACTTTGGTGCTGTAGGGAAAGACTGAGCAGTCAAATGCCAAGTGGCCTAACAGTGTATCCCTGTTCATCTCATGGATGAGATCCCCTTCTTGTGGTATATTTTAGAAGCATGATCCTGGATAGCCCACATCATAGCCAACTGATCTCTAGGGACATTGGACATGGTTTGCTTGAGACCAGGGCAAGTAGGGGATGCCCCAACCATAAGTTTTGAGTTTGAGAGCCCTTACTTCGAGACTCAGATCCATCAGCAGGTAGGTTTCCGACCAACGAAGCAAGTAAGGTTCCAGTTAATGTCTGTTACGATGAACCCTTACATGTCTGGACAGCAGATGGTACATCAGGAATCATCTGTTGGACTTTGACAGTTCATGAAGCCCTATGTATCTATCCTGGCTAGGATTCATTTGTCTCAGTACCCTAAGGAGAGTAGCCTTCATAACCAGAACTTTTGTTTGTTGATCATTGGCAATTTTGGGATTTTCCAGTAGTTGGTTATTATCTCATTCCATATATCTGTATGGTCTGAACTCTAGCCTCTCTCAAGAAAGAATCTATCAGTCTCAAACTTGGTCAGCACTCATCTATGTGCCTCTCTTACTGGCATGCCCTACTCAATACCTCAGCAGAAGAGGCATGCAAATGAATACTAGCTGAATTTGATTATTCTATTGTTTATTTTGATTGAACCTTAGCCAACTGATCAAAGGTCAAGTAATACAGGTTCCACCCATGAAGGTATGGAAATAGGGGTATCCTTAGCAGCTTCATAAGTCCCGAGCCAATAGTCTCATAAAGATCAGAA